TCAGCCTATACAGGTAAGGTAGACTGTGTTTGGTTTTACTATATACATTTATAATTGATGATATGAGTATTCTCTTTTGGTGGAATTGAGACACAGGTGAGTCTAGGATTTTAATATTGTACTGTAGAAAGGTCACACAGTGTGAGTGTAAAGTTTTCACTTTGTGTCTTTACTGTACTGTAGGTGAGAGGTGTGAGACAAGAGTAAGTCTGTGCAGCTCAAGTCCCTGTGAAAATGGTGGCTCCTGCGAAGACACAGATCAGGGATACCATTGCTACTGTCCTTTCTCCTACATCGGGAGTCAGTGTGAGACTTATCTTCCTTGTTCCACCAGACCTTGTCACCATGGTGACTGTATTACCACCAACTTGACCTTCCATTGTAAATGTCATACTGGATTTAAAGGTAACACAACATTTGCTCACAAAAATTTAGTAAAACGTTTTGTTTTATATCTGTTATGAGAAAGGATAACCAAATGATGTAAAGAGACACAAAAATATATACACTTGAAATGGTTACCAACATTTTGTGTTTATGTATTCATTTAAGGTGAACTCTGTAACAAGTCAGACTACTGTGTGTCCAAGCCCTGTAGAAATGGGGGAACATGTGTTGCCTTGGAAACAAGTTATTCCTGTACATGTAGGCCAGGTTATACTGGTGTGGATTGTGATACCCTCACCAATGAGACCTGTGAGGGAGTGGTGTGTGAGAATGGAGGACAGTGTCGAGTTGTTGACAGACAGCCTCACTGTAAGTGTGCACCAGGCTATGGAGGACAACAGTGTAAACAAGGTAAGGTGGTGTGATCTATGAAGGCTGTTTTTGTTTACTCTTATATGATGATTGTTTATATGTAGAAGAATGTCAGGGAACTCCCCTTACAATGACTTTGTATTATACAAAGATCTCTCTTAAAATGCCCTTGTATTGCAATTATATAAGCTCTGAAGTGTCATGTCAGAAGCACTGTTGAAGGTAAAATGTTTATTAAGCTCGCCCTTAACATTGATATTTTTGTTCAACTCTTTAAATGATAAACAACATTATATTATTTTTGAAAAAGCATTTTTGGATAAAATACACTGTTGTGTAATTTTTAGATGTTTTCATTCAAAAGTTAAAGCTATTTCTGCTCCTTTGATTATCTAATTTTGTAGTTAATGTCTACACCTTTTAGAATAAAAGAAAACTGATTTTTAATATTGATTTAAAAAAAGAAAATAATTCTTTTCTATTATGTTGGGGGAAAACATTTATTTCAACAATTATCTCATTATTTTCAGTACTCTCCCCAGACTTTGACCTTGTGTTTGACCGGTTAAGATCCCCCGGGTATGCACTACTTCGTCCTGCCCCAGGGGATCTGAAGTTTATCACGGCATGTTTGTGGATGAGGAGTGAGGATACCATGCACTATGGTACACCTTTCTCTTATGCTGTGGAGACCAATGATTTAGCCTGGCAGGAGGGCAACATGTTCACCCTGACTGACTACGGACAACTCAAGGTAAGTCATGTTCACCCTTACTGGCTATTGACAACTCAAGGTAAGTCATGTTCACCCTTACTGGCTATGGACAACTCAAGGTAAGTAATGTTCACCCTTACTGACTATGGACAACTCCAGGTAAGTCATTTTCACCCTGACTGGCTATGGACAACTCAAGGTAAGTCATGTTCACCCTGACTGACTATGGACAACTCAAGGTAAGTCATGTTCACCCTGACTGGCTATGGACAACTCAAGGTAAGTCATGTTCACCCTGACTGACTATGGACAACTCAAGGTAAGTCATGTTCACCCTGACTGGCTATGGACAACTCAAGGTACGTCATGTTCACCCTGACTGACTATGGACAACTCAAGGTAAGTCATGTTCACCCTTACTGGCTATGGACAACTCAAGGTAAGTCATGTTCACCCTTACTGGCTATGGACAACTCAAGGTAAGTCATGTTCACCCTGACTGGCTATGGACAACTCAATGTAAGTCATGTTCACCCTGACTGACTATGGACAACTCAAGGTAGGTTATGTTCACCCTTACTGACTATGGACAACTCAAAGTAAGTCATGTTCACCCTTACTGGTTATGGACAACTCAAGGTAAGTCATGTTCACCCTTACCGACTATGGACACTTCAAGGTAAGTAATGTTCACCCTTACTGACTATGGACAACTCCAGGTAAGTCATTTTCACCCTGACTGGCTATGGACAACTCAAGGTAAGTCATGTTCACCCTGACTGGCTATGGACAACTCAAAGTAAGTCATGTTCACCCTTACTGGCTATGGACAACTCAAGGTAAGTCATGTTCACCCTGACTGACTATGGACAACTCAAGGTAAGTAATGTTCACCCTTACTGACTATGGACAACTCCAGGTAAGTCATTTTCACCCTGACTGGCTATGGACAACTCAAAGTAAGTCATGTTCACCCTTACTGGCTATGGACAACTCAAGGTAAGTAATGTTCACCCTGACTGACTACGGACAACTAAAGGTAAGTCATGTTCACCCTTACTGACTACGGACAACTCAAGGTAAGTCATGTTCACCCTTACTGACTACAGACAACTCAAGGTAAGTCATGTTCACCCTTACTGACTATGGACAACTCCAGGTAAGTCATGTTCACCCTCACTCACTATGGACAACTCAAAATGAGTCATGTTCACCCTCACTCACTATGGACAACTCCAAGTAAGCCATTTACTGATCTTTATCAAAATTACCTGTGGTTCAGTTAAGGTATTGCTGATATCTAATTACATTCCCCTTTGAATTAATTTTCCTGTCTGTATTTACTATTTCATTAGCTTATATTTACTTCAACAGCTCTTCATTCATGGGGATGTAGCTGTAACCAATATAGAGGTGAATGATGGGAGATGGCAGCATGTGTGTGTGGCCTGGCAGAGCAGTGGTGGCCACTGGTGGATGTATGTCAATGGAACTATTGCAGACAAGGGAGACAACTTGGCAGCAGGTCAAACCATTGCAGGAGAAGGATATCTGATCTTAGGTATAACTTTATAGAAACAGTACATATCATGATTGTTCAATGGCTTCTTGAAGTAAATCAATATATATTCTACTCACCCTGAGAATAGCCGATGTTTCTAATTAGGACAGACTAAAAGATGATCATAAACCCTTTACCTGATTTGCATCCAGGTAAAAGCATATTTACTGGTTTGTTATTTTTCAGTATTTTCAATGAATACAATTTTTAAAAAAACCTGAAAAGAAGATGTAATATAAACCACAATCTGTGTTATGATTATGTATTTTTGCTTCAAGTAAAACCACAAAAATCTGGACCATCTGAAATAACATTCGTAATAGTAAAATGTATGATGGTAGGACCTGTACTATTTCACTTTTTTTGGCCATGCTACTTCAGCTACAGAATACTTATCATTAAAACAGGACAGGAACAAGACTCGGTTGGTGATTCCTTCAGTACAGCTGAAGCCTTTGTTGGAGAAATGTCACAGTTCAATGTGTTTGATTGGGTACTAAGTGATGAAGATATCAGGAAATTGTCCAATCAAAACATCTGTAACAAAACTTATGGCAATGTTGTGGCCTGGACAGAGGTGGTGGGAAATATCCAGGGTAACGTCAAAATTCGGCAAGGAAGCCACTGTCTAGGTAAGTTTCCAGAAGTTACATTCACATTTACAATCTGACCCCAGCACCTTGCATTAACAGTTTACGTTCTTAGCTTCTTCACATGTTCCACTAGTGGGATTTCAGCTGAAACGTACCTGAAATGATTCTGAGATGGTCCTGACAATGTGTTGGGCTTAATATTGGTGGAAACAAGATTGAAAGAAAGCTGAAAAATTGTTATTTTTCAACCTTGTCAAAAGTTTGACATGGCAGCCATTTTGTAACATGATTACAAAATCATGGTTTTCCTGAACAATTCCTATTTTAATCTTCTTCTCAAGTCTCATTTGGAGGATTCAACTAAAACTTGTCTGAAATGATCCTGAGATGGTCAGTGCTTCTAACCAAGTGTTGTTTTTTTAAGGTTGGTTTGAAATGCAATATGGCCCTCATGGCAGCCATCTTTAAAAACATAATTTGGTTAAATATTCCACACAATTTTATCATTTGAAAATTGTTACCACTACTACTGTTATATAGATCTTGATAATCAGTTGACCTCTTAACATCATTCTCCCCACTTAGTAAATGGGGGTAGTGTATAGTAATCACTTTTCCTACGTGTCCATCTGTTGTGCATGCATTTGTCCAACATCTTGGTTTCAGATATCAATGAATGTCTATCATCATTCTCCAACAACTGTAGCCTACACAGACAGTGTTCCGACCTGATTGGTGGGTATAAATGTGAGGATTGTAGGTATGGATACCAGGGCAAGCGCTGTGATGAACCAATCAATGAATGTCTATTGGGTGTATGCAAGAATGAAGCTTCGTGTTCAGATGGACCACTTCCTTTTGATTTTCGCTGTGATTGTAGACATGGCTTCACTGGTAAATAAGAACTTTCGTTATTTTTAAAGTTTAAGTTTTACTATAGGGGCAATGTTATGACAACATTTTGCAGCTAATGTTTTGCTTGATTATACTGTTAACTTGTCTGTTAAGGCCAGTCTCAACAAATGAGAAGAGATAAGTGACCTTTATATAAAGGTTCAACTATTGTAAATTGTATTACACAAGATACGGAATAAAAGTGGTCTTTATAGACAGGTATTTATTTTATTGAAGCAGCCCGATTCACCATGTCCAAAATAAACATATCATAATTAATTTATTTCGTTGATTGTTTCCTGGTTAATTAATTAATTAATTGGTCTGAAGCATTCTTGAGTGAAGAGAAATCAATTTTGCCAGATGATTGATACAGGCCCTATGTGCCTCTTGTTATTGAATTATATATTTATAAAAGATTTGTTTCTTTTAATGGTTAGTGTTTTAAGTTCCCATGTCATGACTTATCGGTTTATGAATGTGTACTATAGGGGCCAGCTGTGAGGTGGTGATCAACGTGTGTGACTCTAGTCCATGCCAGGCTAACAGTACCTGTGTCTTAGGATCAGACGGAGGTCACAGTTGTCTCTGTCCCCCTGGGGTCACCAACTGTGATTCCTCCCACCAGTCGTGTTACCTTGGCTACTGTCAGAACAACGGCCTCTGTAATTTAACAAAATCCAACCAGCTACAATGTATATGTCCTCTCGGCTTTCAAGGTGAGTTTTGTGAGGTCAAGGTCAACAACTGCCGTGATGATCCTTGTCAGAATGGTGGCATTTGTACAACCACAGGTGATGGTTATACATGCAAGTGTAAAAATATGTGGAAGGGAGATAACTGTGAGATTTCATTTATACCGAACTGTGACATGTTCCCCTGTCTGAACAATGGTACATGTGTTGTCTCCCCTGACCAGGAGTTGGGTTATTCATGCACGTGTGAGTCCTTACCTGGGGTGACATGGGGACCGAACTGTGAACACAATCCTTGTGAACTTGATCCTTGTCAGAACTCTGGAACCTGTATCCTCCTTACCGACATCAATTACCTCTGTCTGTGTCCAGTCAACATTTCCGGTCAGCTGTGTGAGGGTGATCCCAATCAACTGACCACTCATGAGACAGAGTTCTCTACAACAACTGTAGCTGTAAAATTTGAGGCAACAACACTCAAGTATACAGGTAAATTTCTACCGTTTAAGTTACATTAAAGAAATTATTGAAATGACATTTACACAATAGAAGTTATAACATTGAATAAATCTATATTACAGGGAAAGAGAAGCCATGTAAAACTGTGGTATGTGAGAATGGTGGCACATGTATTACCAGACAGGGACAGGATCACTGTATCTGTACCCTGGACTACACAGGGAGAGAGTGTACCAGGTACAGACAGAGAGGTAGGTCTAGTACTGGTCACTTAGCTGTACCCTACACAGAAAGAGATTGTACCAGGTACAGACAGAGAGGTAGGTCTAGTACTGGTCACTTAGCTGTACCCTACATAGAAAGAGATTGTACCAGGTACAGACAGAGAGGTAGGTCTAGTACTGGTCACTTAGCTGTACCCTACAAAGGGAGGGATTGTACCAGGTACAGACAGAGAGGTAGGTCTAGTACTAGTCAATGAGTCTGCACCCTACAAAGGGAGGGATTGTACCAGGTAGAGACAGAGAAGTAGGTCTGGTACTGGTCACTTAGCTGTACCCTACAAAGGGAGGGATTGTACCAGGTACAGACAGAGAGGTAGGTCTAGCACTGGTCACTTAGCTGTACCCTACAAAGGGAGGGATTGTACCAGGTACAGACAGAGAGGTAGGTCTAGTGCTGGTCACTTAGCTGTACCCTACAAAGGTAGGGATTGTACCAGGTACAGGCAGAGAGGTAGGTCTGGTACTGGTCACTGAATCTGTACTCTACAAAGGGAGAGATTGTACCAGGTACAGACAGAGAGGTAGGTATAGTACTGGTCACTTAGCTGTACCCTACAAAGGGAGGGATTGTACCAGGTACAGGCAGAGAGGTAGGTCTAGTACTGGTCACTTAGCTGTACCCTACGAAGGGAGGGATTGTACCAGTTAGAGACAGAGAGGTAGGTTTAGTAATGGTCACTTAGCTGTACCCTACACAGGGAGAGATTGTACCAGGTAGAGACAGAGAGGTAGGTCTAGTACTGGTCACTGAATCTGTTCCCTACAAAGGGAGAGATTACACCAGGTACAGACAGAGAAGTAGGTCTAGCGCTGGTCACTTAGCTGTACCCTACGAAGGGAGGGATTGTACCAGTTAGAGACAGAGAGGTAGGTTTAGTAATGGTCACTTAGCTGTACCCTCCCTACAAAGGGAGGGATTGTACCAGGTACAGACAGAGAGGTAGGTCTAGCGCTGGTCACTTAGCTGTACCCTACACAGGGAGAGATTGTACCAGGTACAGACAGAGAGGTAGGTTTAGTAATGGTCACTTAGCTGTACCCTACAAAGGGAGGGATTGTACAAGGTACAGACAGAGAGGTAGGTCTAGTACTGGTCACTTAGCTGTACCCTACAAAGGGAGGGATTTTACCAGTTAGAGACAGAGAGGTAGGTTTTGTAATGGTCACTTAGCTGTACCTTACTCAGTGAGAGATTGTACCAGGTAGAGACAGAGAGGTAGGTCTAGTACTGGTCACTGAATCTGTTCCCTACAAAGGGAGAGATTATACCAGGTACAGACAGAGAAGTAGGTCTAGCGCTGGTCACTTAGCTGTACCCTACAAAGGGAGGGATTGTACCAGGTACAGACAGAGAGGTAGGTCTAGTACTGGTCACTTAGCTGTACCTTACAAAGGGAGGGATTGTACCAGGTACAGACAGAGAGGTAGGTTTAGTACTGGTCACTTAGCTGTACCCTACAAAGGGAGGGATTGTACCAGGTACAGACAGAGATGTAGATCTAGTACTGGTCACTAAGCTGTACCCTACAAAGGAAGGGATTGTACCAGGTACAGACAGAGATGTAGATCTAGTACTGGTCACTAAGCTGTACCCTACAAAGGGAGGGATTGTACCAGGTACAGACAGAGAGGTAGGTTTAGTACTGGTCACTTAGCTGTACCCTACAAAGGGAGGGATTGTACCAGGTACAGACAGAGAGGTAGGTCTAGTACTGGTCACTTAGCTGTACCCTACAAAGGGAGGGATTGTACCAGGTACAGACAGAGATGTAGATCTAGTACTGGTCACTAAGCTGTACCCTACAAAGGGAGGGATTGTACCAGGTACAGACAGAGATGTAGATCTAGTACTGGTCACTAAGCTGTACCCTACACAGGGAGAGATTGTACCAGGTACAGACAGAGAGGTAGGTCTAGTACTGGTCACTAAGCTGTACCCTACACAGGGAGAGATTGTACCAGGTACAGATGGAGAGGTAGGTCTAGTACTGGTCACTAAGCTGTACCCTACACAGGGAGGGATTGTACCAGGTACAGACATGGTGTAATTGTGATCAATGTGATTATCATTGGTTGTTGACTAAAGTTAAATTTTTCTATACAACAATTTTGTAACAATTGAGTTGAGCATATGAATGGATTAATTTTTAATTTTTAATTTTTATAGTCATAACAATTTAATTACAAATCCTTCATTTTCCACACATTTTAAGATTTACTTGTCACAAGTATGTAAAACCTCTTTTTCTGCAAAAGTATGTCATCTTTAAGAGTTGACTTGTGTATTTCTTTAATAACAAAATGAAACGATCAAATACATGATTCTTTGAAAAACACACACGAGAAATACTTCTTTAATTTAAAACTCCAGAACAGATTTTTTCCTTGTATCAAATATTTTGTTTCTTCTCTAATAAGGATGCTTGAGTTCTCCAAGGAGTAAGGCTTTATCTTTTCTTGATCCTCTCAGAATATTTTGTGTTGAAACATCAATGATATCCTTATCATAGTTTGCTGACTTTTAAGCCAAAAATTCCACAAATCACTTTCTTAAGAAAATAATATTTGTGTACATTTTAATTGATAATGACAGACAAGTACAGAGAGACCAATAATTTAAAGTCCCAGGGATGGTGATATTATGTCTGTAGCATGCTGGGATACCAAGTTTGTTCAAATAAACGACCTTGATCTGCTGTCAAGGTCACAGGGACCAAATATGTTAAAATATTTGAACAACTTGTTCAAATAAACAACCTTGATCTGCTTTCAAGGTCATAGGGACCAAATATGTTAAAATATTTGAACAACTTCTTCATAATCATGAAAAGGCTTCAAGCACTTATATTCACCACTCTGGAATAAATGAACTTGATCCACTTTCAAGGTCACAGGGGTCAAATGTGTTGAAATCTTCAAACAACCTTTTTCCAGTAACCAAAGATCCCAGGGCACCGATATTCCTTCTTTCCAATGAGCAGTAGATCATTTCCTTACTAGAGGAATGGTCTTTCAAATTAGCTTTATGAATGATGTCTTCTGTAGTGAATGAGACAAGTGATTCACGCCCATAAGGGTTCCTGGTTTTTTTTTTTTTATTGAAATCCAATACCAAAAAAAATTGTAATAATAAATAATATTGTAATAATTATATATTGTATTTGCTGTTGCAGTAACTAAAAAGTACAAAGCCACCATCTTGGTAAAGAAACCATATCACACATTCTACAAACATGGCTGGCTCTTCAGGCACAACTTTACCAAAGAGGTGAGTTTTAAAAACACAAAGAGCAGGTGAATGGTTGTGACAAATCTATCCTTAAACGGAAAGCAAGGTTTGTACAATATCTGATACTAACATTATGTTACAGGTGAGTATGTTATACTCTGGGATGATGAATGCTGAAGACCATGTAAGGACTAACAACATTTACATCAGGTGAGGCAAATACTCAGGAAAATCGGTTTTTATGAATTTCAAATCTTTACAAAATTTTATTACAAATGTGATTTTTTTTAGGTTTCTGACTTCAGCATTTTTCAGAATTTAAGTATAATACAATATTTTTTAAAAACTGAATTCATAGCTTGAAACTTGAAATTGTAAACTTAAAGAAAGATTTTGTGTTGCAATCCATGTACATTTGTTTTCCTGGCTTCTACTGATTCTTACAGACCTGGTCGTAGGCCGCAGAGAATGATGGTGACCTTCACACTAGTGTATACAAAGTTTAAGGACAGTGAAGGGTCTGCCTTGACAATGGCCAGCCTCCGACAGGTTCTTGAGGACAGTCTACTTAGTGGTTACCTTGGTAGCCTTCCGGTGTCCCACAAGAAGTTCTCCTTCATGGCCCTGTCAGACGGTAGGATTCTTAATGGGCAACACTTTTACACTCTGTTTGATTAAATATTTGTAATAAATAGTGAGACAATTATCTTAAATAAGTAAAAAATTAACAATTAGGAAAAAATACTTGTGTTTGAAAAAATTTAAAAACTAATTCATAATTTGATATAACAGCTCATCTTTGCCAAATCATTGGTCTATTATTTCTGTTAACTGGATGTAATGATTTAAACATCAATAAAACAGAAACATAAGAAACATAAAAAATCAATGTCATAATTTTACTTAAAGTATTGTTGTTTACAAATGAATACCAGGAGAAAAACTTGGCAGAACAGGATCTCACCCTGGTAAGGATACAGTCACTTATTTAGTGGCTGGTATCATCTTTCTGCTGCTGAGTCTCTTTGTCCTGGCTGCCTTCGTTGTGGTCCGTTTGAGGAAGGTGGCATACAGTGAGACATCCAAGTAAGTGTTTGAGATGGTCGGTTTGAGGAGGGTGGCATACAGTGAGACATCCAAGTAAGTGTTTGAGATGGTCGGTTTGAGGAAGGTGGCATTCAGTGAGACGTCCAAGTAAGTGTTTGAGATGGTCCGTTCGATGAAGGTGGCATACAGAGAGACGTCCAAGTAAGTGTTTGAGATGGTCCGTTTGAGGAAGGTGGCATACAGCTGGACATCAAAGTAAGTGTTTCAGATGGTCCGTTTGATGAAGGTGGCATACAGTGAGACATCCAAGTAAGTGTTTGAGATGGTCGGTTTGAGGAAGGTGGCATACAGTGAGACGTCCAAGTAAGTGTTTGAGATGGTCCGTTTGAGGAAGGTGGCATACAGTGAGACATCCAAGTAAGTGTTTGAGATGGTCGGTTTGAGGAAGGTGGCATACAGTGAGACGTCCAAGTAAGTGTTTGAGATGGTCGGTTTGAGGAAGGTGGCATACAGTGAGATGTCCAAGTAAGTGTTTGAGATGGTCGGTTTGAGGAGGGTGGCATACAGTGAGACATCCAAGTAAGTGTTTGAGATGGTCGGTTTGAGGAAGGTGGCATACAGTGAGACATCCAAGTAAGTGTTTGAGATGGTCGGTTTGAGGAGGGTGGCATAGTGAGACATCCAAGTAAGTGTTTGAGATGGTCGGTTTGAGGAAGGTGGCATACAGTGAGATGTCCAAGTAAGTGTTTGAGATGGTCGGTTTGAGGAAGGTGGCATACAGTGAGACGGTTTGAGGAGGGTCCATTCAGTAAGTGTTTGAGATGGTCGGTTTGAGGAGGGTGGCATACAGTGAGACATCCAAGTAAGTGTTTGAGATGGTCGGTTTGAGGAAGGTGGCATACAGTGAGACATCAAAGTAAGTGTTTGAGATGGTCGGTTTGAGGAAGGTGGCATACAGTGAGACGTCCAAGTAAGTGTTTGAGATGGTCGGTTTGAGGAGGTTTGAGATGGTCGGTTTGAGGAAGGTGGCATAGTGAGACAAGTGAGACATCATCCAAGTAAGTGTTTGAGATGGTCGGTTTGAGGAAGGTGGCATTCAGTGAGACGTCCAAGTAAGTGTTTGAGATGGTCGGTTTGAGGAGGGTGGCATAGTGAGACATCCAAGTAAGTGTTTGAGATGGTCGGTTTGAGGAAGGTGGCATACAGTGAGACATCCAAGTAAGTGTTTGAGATGGTCGGTTTGAGGAAGGTGGCATACAGTGAGACGTCCAAGTAAGTGTTTGAGATGGTCGGTTTGAGGAAGGTGGCATACAGTGAGACATCCAAGTAAGTGTTTGAGATGGTCGGTTTGAGGAAGGTGGCATACAGTGAGACATCCAAGTAAGTGTTTGAGATGGTCGGTTTGAGGAGGGTGGCATACAGTGAGACATCCAAGTAAGTGTTTGAGATGGTCGGTTTGAGGAAGGTGGCATACAGTGAGACATCAAAGTAAGTGTTTGAGATGGTCGGTTTGAGGAAGGTGGCATACAGTGAGACGTCCAAGTAAGTGTTTGAGATGGTCGGTTTGAGGAAGGTGGCATACAGTGAGACGTCCAAGTAAGTGTTTGAGATGGTCCGTTGGATGAAGATGGCATACAGTGAGACGTCCAAGTAAGTGTTTGAGATGGTCGGTTTGAGGAAGGTGGCATTCACAAGTGAGATGGTCCATAGTAAGTGTTTGAGATGGTCCGTTTGATGAAGGTGGCATACAGCGAGATGTTCAAGTAAGTGTTTGAGATGGTCCGTTTGATGAAGGTGGCATACAGCGAGATATTCAAGTAAGTGTTTGAGATGGTCCGTTTGAGGAAGGTGACATACAGCTGGACATCAAAGTAAGTGTTTCAGATGGTCCGTTTGATGAAGGTGGCATACAGTGAGACATCCAAGTAAGTGTTTGAGATGGTCCGTTTGATGAAGGTGGCATACAGTGAGACGTCCAAGTAAGTGTTTGAGATGGTCGGTTTGAGGAAGGTGGCATTCAGTGAGACGTCCAAGTAAGTGTTTGAGATGGTCCGTTGGATGAAGATGGCATTCAGTGAGACGTCCAAGTAAGTGTTTGAGATGGTCGGTTTGAGGAAGGTGGCATACAGTGAGACATCCAAGTAAGTGTTTGAGATGGTCGGTTTGAGGAAGGTGGCATTCAGTGAGACGTCCAAGTAAGTGTTTGAGATGGTCGGTTTGAGGAAGGTGGCATTCAGTGAGACGTCCAAGTAAGTGTTTGAGATGGTCGGTTTGAGGAAGGTGGCATTCAGTGAGACGTCCAAGTAAGTGTTTGAGATGGTCCGTTTGATGAAGGTGGCATTCAGTGAGACGTCCAAGTAAGTGTTTGAGATGGTCCGTTTGATGAAGGTGGCATACAGCTGGACATCGAAGTAAGTATTTCTTTCACCTAGCCGTCCAGGGTTCCATTTTTGTGGAGGTCAGTTTGAGGAAAATGGTTGTAGTAGTTATTCTCAACTCTGGTTTGTTACATGTTGTAGGTAGATATATGTGCTTGTGATAGCTGTTTGAGTGGAAGAATTATAACTTCTTTTAAAAAACATTGTCTTGTTTTTTTTTGTAAAAAAATCATTGTACTGGAAAGTTTGTCTGTTGTAGATTGATGCAGAGGGTAAGGCTAAACAACAGAAATAACATGTCACTACAGCTCTTGTCCAATCCTATGTTTGAGGACCTGGCTGACCGCCATCCTTCAGGTAAACATCACAGAAAATTTAGTTATTCTTTCTGTCTTATACCTTTGAAAAAAGATTGTCCCGGAAAATTTATAGAAAAAAATCACTCAGTATTAACTTCTACATATTTCCGATTATCAGAACCATCAGTTTAAATACAATACAATATTTTCACACTGATAATGGTCCATCATACTTGTAGATAACATGTATGCAGAGCTAAGTGACTCAGCCATTGATCCCTACTGCGTGAGTACAAAGTCGGAGATACAGCGTGGCTCCTCCAACTACTCCTCTAAACGCAGTAACAAGGAGTGTAATCTGGAGTGGGAAGCTGCTAGGAAAACCTCCGAACTTTCTGACACTGCCAGTGACTGTGCCAAGAAAATAGGTACTCACTATGACTCAGTGTTTTCTGATGGAGACAGCTACATCAGCCCTATACACAACAAAAACCAATTTGAGTACGCAAATGTGAAGGAGAAAAACGAAAACAAAGAGTTACTTCCTCTGTCAGGAAAACATGACAAAGACTGCAGTCTGGTAAGTTTAGATTCCGAACATGACATGGAAAGTGGTGGCTTTGAACCTAGTAGTGAAAACATCGAGAGGAAGGACAGTACCCAACCGAAGGGAAATAACTCTGTAGAAACAGATACTGACTACCTACAGGCCAGTATACCTGGGACAGGATATCCTTCAACACCTTCATACACAAACACAGCTACAGACAAGGTAATGATAAAAATCTTTAAGGATCACTGTATCCTTGTTCTGTATTATGCTTCAATAAGTAATTAGGAAGTCAACACATGATCCTTGAGTATTCTTTCAAAAAATTGAGTATGTTGAAACTTGTGTAACCTGTTTTGTAGTTGTCAAATTCATAACCATTTCCATGTCACCTGTGGGTTCACAAAGTGTATGAAGTGCTTCCTCAATGAGAGTTATTGTTTTTGAATTGCTGTGTCAAGTGAAAGTTAAGGACACTGTAACAATAAATTTGCATCTTTCTGTTCTTTCCATTGTCTCCCTATAATGTGTTAGCCACAGCTTGGTTTTCATTCAGTATTAACTCATACTTATGCCCCCTTCATTTTTTGATACCAAAAATAGCAATAAAAGATAAGTATATTTGAGCTCATTTGTGACTGACACATTCATTATATTTCAATTTTTTTTTTAAATAGTCCGAAAAATACTTCTAAATGGTGAAGTATATTTTAGATAGTGATATACCTTAACATTCTTCTGAATTACTAGGTAATTAATCCTGGTAAAGTTAAACATTAAATGAATATTACACATGTCAAGTAATTAAGTTAAAATATTCTTCATTATGTACCCAGTATCATGTATCTTATCCTTCCAAATCATGGTTAATCAGCCACAGTGTTCAACTGATTCACAGCTAAATGATGTTTTACGAGATTTTAGTCCTATATAATGAAAGTCATGAATAATTCATGTTTATCAACAGATTGAAGAGAATGATGTCAAGTCTCCTAAATACAGCTATGCCAGTTTGCCTGTTGAAAGGACAGACAACTCATCCCTATCTACGACGTGTGAACAGAAAGTCTTTAACACTAGTACATCCTCTGATACTAAATCAGACAGTGTGAAATCTGATACAAACTTCAGCTTTTCATCCAGAGACAAACATACCTATCACAACTCAACAGAAACAGAGGAAGATGCTCCGCCCCTTGAGATTACGTATGACATTCCTCATTCACAACATCCTGAAATGTCTGCCACAAACAAGGATACTAAAACAGCCAAGTCAAAAAAACTTTCCAGATCAAATAAGGAGGATGAGAAAAGGCCAGCCAAGAAAAAGAATAATGCTTCGATCATGAGGACAGAGTCTGCCAGCCAGACTGACTACGTGGATATGTCAAATGGTCTCGTGCTGGACAAAATCATCCGTTGGCGACGCAAGAGATCAGGGGAAACAGCTGCTAAAAAAAAAGATGATGATGATGAAGATTACAACTACATCGAACCAAATGTCCCAGATATAAAGTTCAACAAGTCTGGCTGCAAGGTTATGACAATTTCAGAAAAATATGTTGTATAAGATCATCTTTCAATAATTGAGTGTTAGTAAGACAATGTGAATCAAACTTGAGGTCATTATGAAAGTAATTGGTTCCCTAACCTTTGACCTGTATATGGGACATAACTCAGCCTTTTTTTAGATAATATCACCTGTGTGAAATGAAGATAACAGAGGAAGAACTTAGTTATCTATTTATAGTAACAACTTTTGTAACTTGCTTCTATTTTTATTTTGATCCAGGAATGTTAACCCAGGTAAAGTAAAGTACACTTCAATCACAGGCCTAAATAACTTTTTATTTCCATTTTTGACTTCAATAACCTCTTATCATAAAACCAAGAAAATTTACCTTCTTAATCATGATTGAACCAAAACTAGCATCCAATTATTATCAGTCCTGATCATCAGCTACTCTTCTCATGTTACAGATCATCAGGAAAGACTCAGCTAGTCAGACAGATTACTTAGATATGACTGGTGGCAAGCTGCTGTCCCAGTTCAGGGACAGATCACCAAACATTCGGGAGTCTAATCGGGAGTCTTTCCGAAGAAAATCCATGCATGACTACTTGGAAGTCCTGCCAGGTGAATGTAATGAGGAAAAGAAAGATGGTCTCACGTCAACTCTTCCTCGACCAGTTAAAAGGTCTGCACTACTGGAGTCTGCTGCCACCTCTACACTGCCACGATCAGTCAAGAAAACAGTCTTAAAAGGCTCTGTTTCTGTCTCCTCACTTTTAAAAGTTGGAAGGAAAGATATGTCCAAGAGACAGTTGCCTCCTCTCCCCAAGCATGCAGAAGTATAAACAATGGTCTCCCGTTCCTTTGCATTCAGTAAGGTGTAAACTGTTCCCTTGCAGGGTATGGTGAAACGAGCTGTTCTTTGTATGCTAAGGTTTAGACAGGTGTTTCCCCATTCCACACAGGGTAAAGTTTAGACAGTTGTCTTCCCTTCTGAAGCAGGGCAAACAGAAACCAGTTATCTCCCTTACACATACATCACACCGTGCCATAGACATACATATATACATATCAATATAGATATATCTAATCTATATCATCCTAATGGATCATTTGACCTTTACACTAACCTATTGATACCCCTTCCCCATCAGTCCGTTGTCCTAATGGATCATTTGTCCTTTACACTAACCTATTGATACCCCTTCTCCATCAGTCCGTTGTCCTAATGGATCATTTGACCTTTACACTAACCTATTGATACCCCTTCCCCATCAGTCCGTTGTCCTAATGGATCATTTGTCCTTTACACTAACCTATTGATACCCCTTCCCCATCAGTCCGTTGTCCTAATGGATCATTTGACCTTTACACTAACCTATTGATACCCCTTCCCCATCAGTCCGTTGTCCTGATGGATCATTTGTCCTTTACACTAACCTATTGATACCCCTTCCCCATCAGTCCGTTGTCCTAATGGATCATTTGTCCTTTACACTAACCTATTGATACCCCTTCCCCATCAGTCCGTTGTCCTAATGGATCATTTGTCCTTTACACTAACCTATTGATACCCCTTCCCCATCAGTCCGTTGTCCTAATGGATCATTTGTCCTTTACACTAACCTATTGATACCCCTTCCCCATCAGTCCGTTGTCCTAATGGATCATTTGTCCTTTACACTAACCTATTGATACCCCTTCCCCATCAGTCCGTTGTCCTAATGGATCATTTGACCTTTACACTAACCTATTGATACCCCTTCCCCATCAGTCCGTTGTCCTGATGGATCATTTGTCCTTTACACTAACCTATTGATACCCCTTCCCCATCAGTCCGTTGTCCTGATGGGTCATTTGTCCTTTACACTAACCTATTGATACCCCTTCCCCATCAGTCCGTTGTCCTGATGGGTTATTTGTCCTATTACACTAACCTATTGATACCCCTTCCTGTTTGTCCTGATGGATCATTTGTCCTATACACTAACCTATGTTGATTCCCCTTCCCCATCAGTCCGTTGTCCTGATGGATCATTTGTCCTTTACACTAACCTATTGATACCCCTTACCCATCAGTCCGTTGTCCTAATGGATCATTTGTCCTTTACACTAACCTATTGATACCCCTTCCCCATCAGTCCGTTGTCCTGATGGGTCATTTGTCCTTTACACTAACCCATCAGTCCGTTGTCCTAATGGATCATTTGTCCTTTACACTAACCTATTGATACCCCTTCCTCATCAGGCTGTTGTCCTGATGGATCATTTGTCATATACACTTACCCTGTTGATACCCCTGTCAGCCTGTTGTCCTGATGGATTATTTGACCTATATACTGACCCTGTTGATACTCCTGTTGTCCTGATGGATTATTTGACCTATATACTGACCCTGTTGATACTCCTGTTGTCCTGATGGATTATTTGACCTATATACTGACCTTGTTGATATTCCTGTTGTCCTGATGGATCATTTGTCATATACACTTACCCTGTTGATACTCCTGTCAGCCTGTTGTCCCGATGGATTATTTGACCTATATACTGACCCTGTTGATACTCCTGTTGTCCTGATGGATTATTTGACCTATATACTGACCCTGTTGATACTCCTGTTGTCCTGATGGATTATTTGACCTATATACTGACCCTGTTGATATTCCTGTTGTCCTGATGGATTATTTGTCATATATACTGACCCTGTTGATACTCCTGTCAGCCTGTTGTCCTGATGGATCATTTGTCATATATACTGACCCTGTTGATACTCCTGTCAGCCTATTGTCCTGATGGATCATTTGTCATATACATTTCACTGTTGATACTCTTGTTGTCCTGATGGATCATTTGTCATATACCCTCGTACTATTGCTTCTATCGATCTTTTGTGCCATAAGATTGTTTGATGTAATTTGTGTTGTGTTATAATCTTCATTATAATTACATGTGTATCTTCTCATTTCATAATAAAAACTTGATTTAATCTGCCTTTTCATCCTGTTAATTGTGTTTTTAGAGGTTTATACACAACAATATAGGCTTTTGTTCATTTTGTATACTTTTTAGCACCTGATAATCAACGGACCCACTTTCAAGGTAACAACTTCCTCTCATTAACCAATACTGAGGTTGTTTATATTTGGTCTGTAGCCTGATGGGATGAAGAGCAACCCAGTTTGTTCAATAATTTACCTTGAGCCACTTTGAGAGTAACTGGAGTCAGATTTGTTGGAATAGAGCTTCTGTCAACAGATATGTCAAAATCTTTGTAAGCTGTAGAACAGGCGAAGAATTCTGGACAATTGGGCCTCTATCATAATGAGTTAATTATACTAAACAATACAAACTTTTAAAGTTTGTGTTAAATGATCTTCAGTATAGCTGTTCACAGATCCTGCAGAAGGCATGAATGTAAGTGAAAGCCACAATACAGAATCACATCTTAAAATCTATAAATAGTAACTGAATACTTCGATCATTTATGGGAACCCAGAAACAGTAAATGAATGTTTTGGTCCTTTATCAGAACCCGGAAACAGTAAATTAATGTTTTGGTCCTTTATCAGAACCCGGAAATAGTAAATGAATGTTTTGGTCCCTTATCAGAACCCGGAAACAGTAAATGAATGTTTTGGTCCTTTATCAGAACCCGGAAACAGTAAATTAATGTTTTGGTCCTTTATCAGAACCCGGAAATAGTAAATGAATGTTTTGGTCCCTTATCAGAACCCGGAAACAGTAAATGAATGTTTTGGTCCTTTATCAGAACCCGGAAACAGTAAATGAATGTTTTGGTCCTGTATCAGAACCCGGAAACAGTAAATGAATGTTTTGGTCCTTTATCAGAACCCGGAAACAGTAAATGAATGTTTTGGTCCTTTATCAGAACCCGGAAACAGTAAATGAATGTTTTGGTCCTGTATCAGAACCCGGAAACAGTAAATGAATGTTTTGGTCCTGTATCAGAACCCGGAAACAGTAAATGAATGTTTTGGTCCTGTATCAGAACCCGGAAACAGTAAATGAATGTTCTGGTCCTTTATAAGCATGATTAAAAGCAACAGACAACCATAATCAAAGGGTACCTGCCACATTGAGAAATTTGTACTAATTTACTAAAGAACAAACCACAAGACATGCATACCATTCCTCTGCATTTAATTTTAATTTATTTGCACATAATTAACATTCAATAAAACAATAAGATACTTTCACAAATGTTCATGAATCTGTCGCACACATCTTACACACCTCTCATTCAAGCACATGACACACCTACCTCTGAACACCAGTCACCATTTCACTAAATCATTGCTTCATTATCATAAGCTCTTTGATTCATATTTATCTGTTTATAATAGATACATTACTGAAAGTATCCTTAATATCAATCTTTGGGGTTCTGCTATATAAGTAAGCCGACACTCTTCATACTGTCAGCACTATAGGCCACACCCTGCATTTCAACCCAAACCACCTTCAGCCTTATTTCTTCCTTTCTTACTGTGCACACCCATCATAGGCCACACTTGTCATTTCAACCGAAACAACTCATAACCTTCTTTCAATACTTCGGGTGCAACATAAGCAACACACCTATCATATCAAACTTTGCCTTCCAAAGTCTTGTCACTAAATAACAAATGGATATACTGATTACTACAGCCAACACTATCTATAGCCTAGTCACTCCCAATTCAGCTCGACACTTTCATCACTAAAGGCCACGCCCATCAATACAAGTAATGACATCTCTAGCCTGGTCACTCCCATTTCTTCTAAACAGGCCCATCACCAAAGGCCATACCCATCAATACAAGTAATAACATCTCTAGCCAAGTCACTCCCTTTTCTTCTAAACATGCCCGTCACCGAAGGCCACGCCCATCAATACAAGTAATGACATCTCTAGCCTAGTCACTTCCCTTTCTTCTAAACATGCCCATCACCAAAGGCCGTGCCCATCAATGCAAGTAATGACATCTCTAGCCTAGTCACTTCCTTTTCTTCTAAACATGCCCATCACCAAAGGCCACGCCCATCAATACAAGTAGTGACATCTCTAGCCTGGTCACTCCCTTTTCTTCTAAACAGGCCCGTCACCGAAGGCCACGCCCATCAATGCAAGTAATGACATCTCTAGCCTAGTTACTCCCTTTTCTTTTAAACATGCCCATTTTAGACAGGCCTCTAAACCAATATCATCTCCTGAAGCAATTCCTATAGTGAATCTCTCTCACACAGTCTTCCCTCCCACACATGTACATCTACACATACCAAATGAAAGACAATTCTATTGACTTAAAAATCAAGTGCTTAATATTATCAATATTTTAGAGACACACTAACCTCTCTAAACTTCATCAAAATGAGTGAGTGATTGAAAAGATTCACAATACTGTTTATATGGCTGTTCATACTGAAACAGTTTAAAATTGTTTACAGATCTGGTTCAATGTTCAAAATATGAATTGGGTATTCGGAAGCTTACGATAAAGCTATTTTACTTCTTTAAAATAACAAATAAATTATTCTGTAATATGTAGGTATTATTTTAACAACACATCAAAATACAACAAAAACAAGATAACACTACCAAAGTTTGTGTCACAGCTCAGTGTCTGCAACAGATCAGCTATTCGTCACATGAGCACTTACAACTCCCTATCATAGCTAATGAGCACACACAATTGTGGACTCTCGAGCACCATTTATGCTTTAACATACCATATCACTGTAATTTCACCATGTATGCTGCAATATTATCATTTACACAGTACCCATAGCATATCACATTGACAACCACCAGTGGCTGCTACAAAACCTTACTCCATTGAAGTAAGATTCTTTTTAAGATGATTTTCTGAGCACAGATTTATACACAAGTAAATCTCACATATTGACTTGTTTTTAACAAATGACTTGTGCTGTGTGAACCCCTTACCCGTTTCCATTTGTAATTAATGCAAAAATATTTCCAAGAAGTTGGTGGTAGATCTAGCAGATATGGTACTGAATGAAATGGTTACAATAAAGACAACTGTACTAATTTCCCTTTAATCAACTCTAAGAAACAAAATTGTCTAAGCCAAACAGAAAGGTTAAAGGTCATCTCATATTTCCAGTCTATCCTTGAATAAATAAGTTCTGTTAATATTGAAAACTAATTGGGATGACCCCTATCAGGTTTTGGGAAAACTAGACAGGTTCTTTTCAAGAATTTACTTAAACACTGTGAAACAATCATCTCATATTAGTCAACTGCAAGCAAGGGAAGAGGAGATCCATTTCTAGTGAAAGAAAATGGAAATATTGCCAGTTTCACACATTAAACAAAAATTCACATAAAAAAAAAACATATCTTCAATTATTAATGCTCATAGTAACTCAAAAACAAATTGTTTTTTTACAATACAAAGAAATCAATCAGATTGTTTACACTAGAATAAAACAATAAAGTGTTTCTCCACCGATGTTAATATCTTGAATTACTCTTAAATGTTTCTTTTGATTGATACTTAGCCAATTCAATAATAAAACCAGAATGAAGATCAGACAGATGTAAATTAACCAAAGGTATGTGTTACAACAGAAGCCTTTCATACTGCATCCAGCTTAACGTTGGTGATAACCATAATCCCTGTGTACTGCATCTGACCTTGTGAAAGAGATAATCCAGTGTATTGGACATTATCCCTACTCTTGTGAGAGGTAACAAGAAAGGCCATATGTTCATGCTGTAAACAGTACAGCTATTATTATGTTATCAATTTTGATTGTTTATTTCTCCTTTGGTAATTTATATTTACTTTTTAAATTACAAAACATGATCACCATCCTCTGTAAGCACCACATTATCAGTCCCTTGTGTCCTCCAATCCTCCATCTCAATAACAGTCCCCTGTGTCCTCGATCCCTCCACCTCGTTATCACATGTCCCCTGTGTCCTCTATCCCTCCACCTCATTATCACCTGTCCTCTGTTTCCTCTATCTCTCTACCTTGTTATCACCAGCCCTGGTGTCTCCTATCTCTCTATGTTGTTATCACTGATCCTCTGTCTCCTATCGCTCCACCTCGTTATAAACAGCCCATGTGTCCCCTGTCTCTCCATCTCTTTATTGCCAGCTCATGTGTCCCTAGCTCTCTACCTTGATATCATGAATCTCCTTAGTATTATCAATATATCTACCATTTCATTCTGTGGTTGATAATGATAAAAGTATCAGTCTACCAGAAATGTCCCTGCATTTGGTGCTTCATTCTAAACCCTGCTGACTGATAGTGATCACATCAATTCACTGATGGGGTCACATTCAGTAACCACAATTATACCACACATTTAGTGGTAATTTCTCAATGTCCAGTAACCACAATTATACCACACATTTAGTGGTAATTTCTCAATGTCCAGTGACCACAATTATACCACACATTTAGTGGTAATTTCTCAATGCCCAGTGACCACAAATATACCACACATTTAATGGTTATTTCTCAATGTCCAGTGACCACAAATATACCACACATTTAATGGTTATTTCTCAATGCTTAGTGGCCACAACTAAACCACAAGTTCGGTGGTAACTTCTGTATGTCCAGTCACCACAATTACAAGCATATAACATTATCAGGAATCCTTTGAATTCGCAAGTCATGACATTTGGCGACGGATTTGAGAAAGAAATCTTGGTCTTGGTTCATAATTCACAAGTCTCTGTCCAACAAGATACCTGTAAAGTAATGTTAAATATTATATTATAAATAATATACATTTTAGTAAAGCAGAGTGTATGATTATGTAGCACATCCAAAAACAAAGCAAAACTTCATTACCTGACAACACCATTGTACATATAAATATGCAAAAAGCCTTAAAAGTGTATAATTACTGAACGGTCCGAAATGAGGCATAAACGAAGCACTTAATATTTTCAAAACAGTTGCCTCCCTTACACAAAAGTACCATATAAGTTGAAGTACAACAAACTTCAGTGATAAAAAGAATGTATTTCTTTTTAATTTAAAGAATACTATATGTTTGAACAGAGTATACTTTACTAGATGTATGCCAATATGGATTTTAATGCTTAAATGGTACTGGAGGAGCAATTTACGATGTACTTTTCTCACTCTTGTGAGAATACACAAGATACATTTCTGCATCTTGGTTTGTTACTTAATGCCTTTCCTTAGTACAAAATGTAATTGAAAACTAAAACTTACAAATAAAGGCAACACATATGGGGGAAAAAGGAGGTAATTATGTCAAGTGCCTGCTTTTAATTCCCATACACTAGATTTAAAACAGCAATGCTCAGGCACCACAACTACACTCTTATCAGGGTTATGAGGGTCAGCACCATGCATTTAATGTACATATAACTGATTATTTACTTGGAAGCACTTACTTGTCATTTTTGATGTGCTCATAGAGCCTTTTAAACTGACGAATTTGAAACATCCCAAATAGGACAAACACAATACAAGCTAAAAGGAGGGGGTATATTCTTCTCAGTACCAGGTTCTGGATCTGGAAATTAAAACCTGGAAACAAATGAGAATAGAATCACTTTCAATTTGCAGGCGGTAATAACAAATTACTCCATTTTATCAATCAATCTCCATGAAATCTTAATAACATTTGTATTACCTTCATATTTCGCTGAGAATGTTTATTCATATAATCAACAGGAAAATCAAGATTAACACATTTTTAGTTAATAACATCAATACACAAGATCAAAGAAAATATTCACAAATGTTATACTTACCTAAATAAGGAACAAAACTCTTGGCGACAACATATGGTAGAGATAAAGACATGCCTAGAATACCAATGACTGGAGCACATAGTTTAGTCAGGATAAATCGGAGGTTCATATTGCGAATTCCGTCATTGTAAACCTGGCAACCAACAAAACAAAAGTCTCCAGTTATCAAACCTGATAGACAACAAAGTGTTAGTTATCACAGTCTCCAGTTATCAAACCTGACAGACAACAAACAGTTAATTATCAAAGTATGGTTATCAAACCTGACAGACAACAAAGTGTTAGTTATCAAAGTCTTCAGTTATCAAACATGACAGACAACAAAGTGTTAGTTATCAAAGTCTCCAGTTATCAAACCTGACAGACAACAAACAGTTAATTATCAAAGTCTGGTTATCAAACCTGACAGACAACAAACAGTTAATTATCAAAGTCTGGTTATCAAACCTGACAGACAACAAATTAAAATAAATTAAGAGTTCAGAACAGTGTTTCTCAGTTTCCTATTATAATTATTTAATCAAAATTAGAAGGAAGTATGTGTATTTGTGTAATTTGCGATAAGATGGACACATACATGCAAATTTACTGTTTGAATTTAAGTTAAATATTGTAAACCAACTTTCTTTTAAAGCGTCTAATTTTCGTAGTTTATCATCAAAACAACTGCATTGTGATTCATATTAACTTTTATGAAACAAGCCATATGATAATGTAACTTTTACAAATTTGTTTCATTTATAAAATAAATAGCTCCCTAAGAAAGTTTGGCTTACAGTAACTTGTGGTCAACAAAGTAACGTATCAGTTCAATCAATGACCAGAGATCACTGGACACAATAAACAATGTCTGAAATCAACACTATTACATACCTGTTCTATGACTCGTTTGAGCCACCACTGGGGTCCCATCATGGTCACTGCACACACAATTTTGGCATGGAGCACTCCAAGAGCCCAATCCTTGTTAACATCAATAACATGGTGATTATTGTTTTGTAGTGAGAATAAAGTTTACCATGGAACAGACTCCTGATCAAGGTCATTTTTATATATTGTGGGTTTCAAGGTCACAAAAATCTAAACTAGCTAAAACAGAAAACTGAGGATTTAAGTGATGATGAAGATTAAAGATGAAACAATTGTCATATATTATTAATGATGCCAAATACTTACCTGCCAAGGAAAGAATATAGGTGTCTGTTCTAGAGGCACTCGTAATGGAGCCACTACCACCAGTTCAAACAGTAACCCCAGTAACAAGGGAACAACACCAATCAGTAATGCTGCTACAATGATACACTTCATCGCCTGTAAACAACAACACCAATCAGTAACGCTGCTACAATGATACACTTCATCGCCTGTAAACAACAACACCAATCAGTAACGCTGCTACAATGATACACTTCATCGCCTGTAAACAACAACACCAATCAGTAACGCTGCTACAATGATACACTTCATCGCCTGTAAACAACAACACCAATCAGTAACGCTGCTACAATGACACACTTCATCGCCTGTAAACAACAACACCAATCAGTAACGCTGCTACAATGACACACTTCATCGCCTGTAAACAACAACACCAATCAGTAACGCTGCTACAATGACACACTTCATCGCCTGTAAACAACAACACCAATCAGTAACGCTGCTACAATGATACACTTCATCGCCTGTAAACAACAACACCAATCAGTAACGCTGCTACTATGACACACTTCATCGCCTGTAAACAACAACACCAATCAGTAACGCTGCTACAATGACACACTTCATTGCCTGTAAACAACAACACCAATCAGTAACGCTGCTACAATGACACACTTCATCGCCTGTAAACAACAACACCAATCAGTAACGCTGCTACAATGACACACTTCATCGCCTGTAAACAACAACACCAATCAGTAACGCTGCTACAATGATACACTTCATCGCCTGTAAACAACAACACCAATCAGTAACGCTGCTACGATACACTTCATCGCCTGTAAACAACAACACCAATCAGTAACGCTGCTACAATGATACACTTCATCGCCTGTAAACAACAACACCAATCAGTAACGCTGCTACAATGATACACTTCATCGCCTGTAAACAACAACACCAATCAGTAACGCTGCTACAATGATACACTTCATTATCTGGTGTCATACATAGAAGATCTTACATGAGTGTCCATGTAATACAAACCTTATCTAACAAGTTCATTTATGTGATTTGTCACAAACCTAGAGGCATATCAAAATATTTTACAAGTTTAAAAAATCTAATACAGGACACAAGTATATTATTCTTTTTATTTTAAAAAATTTAATGTTACATGGACACAAGTATTTGATTCTATTCATTGTATCTCATGTTTCTTTTTGAAAAAAAAAGAAGGCTAAGACTCTTTAACTTATTTCCCTGTAAGATTAATTTTGATGTGGACGGCAAGTTTGGTACATTTTTCACTACTGATGCAATCAGGTGATGTTGTAAAGACAAGACTTATTTCTAAATCACCATAGCATTATTACACGTCTTACAGCATTCGTGACATGTCCTTATGACATGATATATGTAAATAGAGCACTGCAAGTTCAGAAGTGAATTACTGGACCATTATTCACATGTCGGCCTTAATTACATTTGTACTGAAGAAACGTGCAGCAGCATTTCACGATATCGGTAATTATAGACTGATAAAGGCAAATATTGGGGCTGTATTGCTTCCTTAGTTGTACGTGTCTGAGATACCTACCAACATTGCCCATTCTTTGATTTTGTTAAGGATAGCTACAGTGCCTTGTGGGATCCAGTTGTACAGTACAGTGCTAATCCTGAGGATCATCCAGCACACATACAGTCCACAGGCTGCTGTGTATAGCTCGTGGATCTTAGCATCACCCATCCACAATGACATCAGTTTACGACCAAAAAATACTGTCAACATAAAACATTCTACTTGTAGTGAAAATAGTGTATAATAATACCTTACTTCACCATGAATATCATTGTCATATTTCAATACTTCAGTTTATTCAGAGAACAAAACAAATGTATTGGCAGAAAACTACAATATTGTGTTCTGAGTTTACATTATTATAAAATTCTAACAAAGGTAAAAAAAAATTATCTATGTTTATGTTTAGAATATCAAAGTATGTAACAAAAGATTTTTCATTTTTTTGTTTTCTTACATTTTACAGTACATGTAAAAAATGTAATCAAATAAACCAAAGAAATACTTTGTGATTTAGTTAAGCATTGAACTACTTTCAGTTGGCATTCACAGGCATATGAATTCCTAAAGGATAAGGACATTTTCAGTTCAGCATGTTAGCTTCAAATTGATCAGTCTATATCCAAATGGCATTCATAATGTCCAGGAATGCCAATTAAGTTTCTAATTTTCATCTTGTTATCAGGGAAGGCAACTTCAATTTTACATCACTTACAACATTCTTTTGCCAATGGTAGTTCATGAGCTGGTAATACACAAATGTCTTTGGTAAGATTACATGGTAGTAATGCCATACAAAGGTAAATATGTAGACATCATATCTGTTGTTTCTAGTTAAGGTATGATCAGTTATCCCTCAGTCTACCTACCTGGCAAGACAAGTGACATTAGACTGGAGGCGAAAAGCGTTACACACATAAACAGCACCAGCAACATAATCTGTAAGGGAGGTGATCAGTGTCAGAGCACGGTAGCACACACTCAAGTAGTACAATGATGAACATTAATGGAGCAGAGATGGACTTTATAATAAACAGATATTTCCTTTTGAAATATCATTTGTGTGTAATCAGAAGAGGATGGCTGCAAATATGCACACAAAATATCACAAATTAAGAGATAAACTTCTCTGATCTTATGTATCTATCACACAATCAGTATTAAAATTAGTCAGAAACTTCGAAAGAATTCATCCTTTAAAAGACAGCAAATTTCACAATACAGATTAAATCATATCAACAACTCATACTCCTCTAACAAATTGTACCCACCCTTAAATAGAACAACTTTGGTCGTTTATAAGCCTGAAAGCCTGTCGGTCCTCCCCCTTGTAACATGGCTTGATGGGCTGCACCCAAACCTCCTCCAAGTCCTCCTCCCACTGCAGGTGCAGCGTTGTTATTTGCTGGGGGCACCAACGGTGCAGGAGGGTCCCCTTGAACAACATTATCCTGCAAATCATCATTGTTAAGATGTAAATTATCAGCAAACCGTTCTAAAGACAGAATGGGTAAGCAGAAATTACAGCTATTAGATAAGTACACATACTAGTGATAAAACACAGTGATATAACTATAGATTTGTATGATGATGTGTAATGCTTTCAGCGAAGATTTTCACAGAATCAAGAAATTTTCAAAATACATGAAGTCCAGCTTTTTTTTATTGCCCTGGGCCAACTGTCCATCAGAGAACACAATCATTTTTATATTTGATAATATGAAGCTATAAAGACACCATACAAACTAGAAAATATCTATAGCACATCCCTTCTCTTGTGCACATAAGAATCAATGCTTGAAAAATTTCTGTAACTAATTGTTATAATAATTTTAGAAATATAAATGATGAACTCATGCAAAGTGTTCGTTAAAATTTGATCTATTATATCCCTGAAGAAACAATGTTGTTGGAGTGGAAATGGATTGAAGACAGGACTGGATAGATAAGGGTAACATTTTGGGTGATGCCATGGACTGGATAGACATCCGTAACAGCCAAAGTGATGACATGGACTGGACAGATATGGGTAACAATCATACTGATGATGTGAATTGGAGACAGGGCTCGACAGACATGGATAACAATATGATGTCCCCAAATAAACTGTTGATGAGATGATAAAAACATCTTTTTAAGAATGAGTGTGATATTTGTACGTACCCCATCCTGTAAAGGTAGGTCCCCCAATAAGTAGGACCGCAGTCCCAACATAGAGGCCATGGCTAATGTCCATCCCCTCACCATACCCTTGAGCCACATACGGGTGTGGCCCTGTTCTAGTAAGGCTGGCAGGACCACCTGGAGTAGTAGTAGTTCTAGGGAGAGCTCACTGACCGGGGCATCACTGAAAGAAGAAAAGTTTATAGATAATGTCAGCAAGTGATAGATATTTAATACACATACTTGTCATAATTACAGGAAAATTATACTTTTTTGGTAAGCAAGCTTGTCTTCAATATGCCTTCAAAGACTGAGTTTTTCCTTCTTTTTTCTTAAACAAAATTGTCTTCATTCATGTATAAACAGCTACTTATAGTACAATAACAAAAGAGCAAGTGTAATTTATCATGATTGATGTTGACGCACCTAGACAGCATGACATGGTAAGGCAGGAAACCTGTAAGAGCCTTCTTTATCACTCGCACTGGCAGCCACAGCATCAGTAGCACTGTGCTTCCAAAGATTATCTAATAAAATATATCCAAAACTTTAATATTGTGATCAGTTCAATGCATACAATTGTAAAAGAAGTCATATTTTTTCCATGCATTCACCAAGACTGAACTATGGACCTCTTACTTAAAACAACTCTCCAATGAATGAACTAAACTGAAATTTTGCCAAGACAACTTGGTAAGAAGGAGAAAGAATTTTACCAGAGTTAAACTATCATAGTTTCAATTAAATGAATAAATATTTAGATTTAATAAAACATATTTTTATGAGTAAACAGCTGTAACTATAGAAATATTGGGTAATTATTCATATCATAAACAGATCTTTGATATTTGAATATATTGTGCTGGTATACCTACCACAGATGCTACGAAGCGGCGTCCATGTCTGTACACTGGCAGATGGATCATCTATATCAGATAAAAGATTTAACATAAACAGAAAAACTAATACAAACATACTGTAATATAACGAAAAATCACTTGAATGAGAGGCCCAAGGTGCCTGCATTTCTCACCTGGTATTCCATGTTCATCAAAAATACAATCAATGTTCATCTTCATACATAAACATGTGCACCAATGGGATTCAAAGTGGACAGTCCAATCAATTTCAACCAATTTCCACAACAAAATTCAGCTTCTAACACTCAGCTCTAAACAGTGGATTTATGATCTTGATTACAGGTAAATATCACTTCTTTTATCAAACTTTGGAAGTTTTTCACCAAGAAACACGTTTCAACCAGATGCTCTGCCTCTCAGACTTTTAGTTTACCAGGAAAAACCTTTTACAGGTTTTGACATTATTTGACCCCTTTGACCTTTAATAAGGTTCAAGGTCCTTTCTTTGTGCAAAATTTGTCAGGTTTCATCCAAGAGACTTACCTGCCAAATAACATACTTTTAGGACTTTTTTTTAATCAGAAGAAATTATTTAATTTTCTATCAAATTCTACCCCTCTGGCCTTAAATACCGGTAAAGGTCATTTCTTTTTGCTAACTTTGTCAGACTTCATCCCAGAGACCTACCAGCCAAATATTGAGATTCTCAAACACTTGGTTTACTAGAAGAATTCTTTTACAGAATTTGACCCTTTACCCTAGTAACATTGGTTCAAGTTCATTTCTTTTGCAAACTTTGTAGTGCTTCATCCTTAAAACTACAAGCCTTTGTTTAATCAGTAGAAATTGTTTAGAGGTTTTAACAAATATGAACTCTGTAACCTTGAATAAGGGTCATGATCATTTTTTTTCTCAGACTTTGGGTTAGGGTTACAGTTAGGGTCAGGTTTCATTCTAGGAACCTACTGGTTAAATACCACGCTTCTACGCCTTTTGGTTATTGAGAAGAAGTCATTCAAACTGGTTTGTTTTGAAAAATAGATAACAGAAAAGAAAAAACCTATTTCTACAATGCTTTGATCAGTTATACATACAAAAATCACAGTATTATCTCACATTTTCCTATGTGAAATAACTCCCTCTTGTAGTAGGTTGTAATATTGTTTTTAAAGAACAAGTTTTCCTTAAGAGTAAACAAGATATTTAACTTAGAACTAAATGATAACAACCTGTATTCCAGCTTATATTTTTGATATCTTCAGAACTACACAGGATAAATAAGTGACACATACCTCCTGTATAGGGTTGAACTCTGGATCGTTGAGGTTCCTTAGGAACCAGAGAACGCCTGGTCTGAGGACCTCACGAAGCAGTAGGATAAAGGAGGCAAAGTAAAACACATATACCATTCCCACCAACCAGTGAATAAACATGGATGTCCCCGGAGCCAGGTGGAAGCTGTTCTTACGGTCTTTCAATGTAGCATCAAACATGGACTGGAGGAGAAATGTATTTATTATGTGACTATTGAACTTAGTCATATAATGTCAGATATTTGGGTTGTTAGGAATTTAGTACAAGAAAGGTATTATGTAGAAGGATGTTTCAGATTTCCATTACAAAATTACAAGTTACCGGTACATATACTATAAACAAAATTAGATTACAACTGCAGATCAAATAACTCTTTGGACAAAATTCATCAATTAAAATAAAAAGAAATTTTCTAAATGTTGAAAATGGACGAGACCTTATCATGGTAAGAAAGTAATAAATAGCATTTGATGTTTGTTCACTCTTTGGAAAAACTAACAGTTGTAAAACCGATAGAAGTATTTTTCATATAACACTTACAGCTACCTAGATAAGATTAACTCTTCAAATGAAATGGTTTTTATCAACCTGTTGTATGAGGGAATTTAAATGTTCAGAAATAGATTCAATCATACAATGAAAGTTCAGTCTAGAAAAGGCAACCATTCACTAAGAAAAGAAACTCTAGCGTTATCACTGATTGTACATCAAGGTAGCAGTTCAGCTAGTTCATTCCTCAGTGTTGTAGTACATACTAACCAAAGAACACACATCCAACCACCAGCCACAGATCAGAGGAAACACTCCGATCTCTATGACGACTAGTAACATAACTTTGACAACCACATAACACAGACCCAGCACTCTTCTAAACCTGAAGGGATGAAAAAATTAATTTCTTTAAACAAAGTTGAAATACAACATTGTAGAAATATAAGGAAGCAATGGTAGAAATGTTTACTTTTAAATTCTTAAATCATTTTCCCTTAATTATCAAAATGTATGGAAAGATATCTTATATTTTCAATCCTATGCAAAAGTTGCAGACATTTATTTAATACTTACACAGAAACATAGAAATTTTGTTTCCTGCAGAAAAAAATACATTAATGATATTTTGTATTTTACCCCTTCATACGGATAGATAAAGAAAATAAGATTACTAAATATATGAGTCGTGACATTGAGGACTTACTTTTTGAGTTTAGCTATGGCACACATCATGTAGAGTATGACGAGTGATACTGCTATCACTACATAACCTATCATAGTGGTCATCAATCCTTCAAAGTGAGTGGACAGAGCCTGTGTCAGGAACACAAATAAATCATTCCTTACTGATGAATTCATGTACATATTTGTAATTTTGGTACAGTATGTCTAAAAATTTAGTAGGACATGGAGGTTTCAGGAACAGTTCACAGCTGATTGATATATACTGTTGTCTGATGATATGTATAATATATGAACATATCAAGGTGGGAAACTCTCTCATATTGTGCTCCTTGTACAGTTATAAATTGAGGAAAACACTTCAAACTTTATGTTGTCCCATGAAATATTTGTTCATGAAATATTAATTAAAATATGATTCATCTTATTTATTTGGGAATATTTTTGTTAGGAAATCAGCCACAATGTATTAACCTCATTCTAATACCTTTAAATGGGTATCTTAGGGCTGGATTCCATGGATAGAAACAAAACAATTTTTACTCTTTAAAGCGAAAAATAAACTCTCAGAAAATTTATCAAAGTACTTCCTAGTCCACAAGAATGTTATTTTTTCACAATATCAGCATGTATGATCATATCTATCTCTTGAGAACCTATATGTATGACATCCAGTGTTGAAGCAGATTACTCTGTTATAAATGTGGCATATATCTTACTTACAAAGTCATCCAAGTGGAGTCCAACCAATGTGAAGTGTCCGATGTGGTAGGGACAAAATGCTGTAAACACAACAGCAATGTCAAGACTTGGTAACATATACATTTTAACTATCATGTTAAGATGTTCCATTTTTATATCACTTCATCAGATCTCTAAAGTTTACAAGTATTTAATCTTGACTGTCAAAATAGGTTACCATTAAAATAAGAATAGTTTCTAAAATTATAGTTAACATTACAGATATTAATGCAGAAAATAACATGTAACTACTGTTGGATGCTATTAATTCGTAAACAAGACATAAGAACTTTTATTCTACTGACATTAGCAACCTAAAGAAATGTTTTGAAATATCTATGTGTATGCATTATTTGATTCTGATAGTGTTTGTAGTAAATTTGATGGCACTGTATGTGCTGTGACAATTGTATCTACTCATGGTGGTATAACTTACCAAACACCAGTATGAAGAGTGTGTTGAGAGACACTACCCAGAACACATGTTCCTGTAATAGAGGGTACAACATGAAATAAAGAAGTAAATATCACTTAGCACCCCTCCCCCCTCATTCGTATAATCAAATATCGTCATGATACATTCTTATTAAGCTTTATTGTGTTGTCACCCATTTGCCAGTTACTTAAGGAGACAGATTTATGTAAGCATTTAATACTTTTTTTTCTGAATATGATAATATATAATAGTTTATATAAAATAAAATATAGGTCATGCATACACCTTTTCTCAGTGATCAGATTCACCAGTAAGAAGTAAAAGAGAAATGTGTTATACTGTTTTTTAAACATCAGTGAATCCTTATTTAATAAACATCTACAGTAACTTTTAATACCAGAAATATTTTTCAGCAAACCCTTTGTAAAATCTTACAAGTAGTACTTGTGCCATTATAGGAAGAGACTTACCAGGAACACCAGAGAACCATCAAGTCCTAGCAGCTGTAGATAGAGGAAAAAGTAATGACAGCAATTTCCTGAGACAATTGTTACTTTCTACCATCATTTCAGCTTATGTCATATAGATTCCTACAAAGCATTACTCTATGTACAATGCATAACCAATTAGAAAACAGGGGAGATATACCTGCATTACATACACTTGTCAGGTTTATAGTTCTGTGCTTTGGAAAATAGCTGACAAAATGCATGTTCATGTTGCTGTCACATTATGGAAAAAGAGAAATAATCCCCCTTCCCCCCATAATAGGAAACAAAAAAATGCATACATATTAAGATTATTCTTCAGTTTGTAAGACAACTCAGCAAAAGTATTAAAACATTTTTCACAAGATAAAATCATACCCTTTCCCAGGTTAACTCCTCCGCTGCTCTGTCCCATTCTATCGGGTTCCAGTTATTGTCATCTGGTGAAAAAAATATATTAATTCAGTAGAAACAATCAGAATAAACTGAAATTATATAATTATTCACATTATACTTGCTTAAAGTTGTTTAAATCCATGTGGGTAATATTTAGGCCACCTTCACTGAATACCATTAGTTTTCAGAATTTCTGCATAAAGCAGAGTTGATGCATGCATATTTTTATGATAGTAATATAGCTTAAAATGAACATTTTATTCTTGGTGATATGAACTGTTTTAATCAGGTTATGTAAAAGTGGCAAATAAGCATTTCCAGTGAAAAAACAGTCCTGGGTAACACTAAATACATGTAAAGTGATAGAACAGACATGAGTATCAATAGATACATGTCCAGTGATTGAACAGACATGAGTATGCATGAGAGTGGTATAATACAGGTGTATTTCTGTTCACACAGACAAGAACTATAAACTAGGTCTTTGTCATGTCACTAGCCTGTGAGGTCTAACCTTGTGCAGCATTGTTGCCATTGTTACCCCCGTCCATGCCTCCATCTTCCTCTCCCTCCTCCTCATTGGCTGGAGGATTAGGGGCTGCCATTGGTGGGTTGTTTATGTCATTTTGATTAGCTGGCTGTGCTCTAGGCACTCCACCTCCTCCTCCTAAATTGACTAAATTGTTGACTACCCCTCCATCTAGGAAATTCTAAAAAAATTAATGGAAAGCACAAGGTGAGACAATGGTAATCTCTGATAATATCTTTGGACTTTTAGTAAGATGAAATTACTCTGTCAATATCTTAAGGCTTTGCTTCAGATGAAAGTCTTTTAAAACAGATGGGTTAAATATAATCTGCTGGTGTAAACATATACATACAGCTTGTATCACCCTATACTATGGCATTATGTCAGAGAAGATAAAAGTGCACGTGGCACTCCTTTGAAAGACTCCAAGCTGATTAACTCCCAATTTGCCCTAACACATACATTTGTAATACATATACTGGGTTGATTACCTTGGTGATTTTCCTCAACACATACATCTATAATACCAACCCAGGATTTTCCTGCTCTAGCCAATCTGGCCCTCCTCCATGAAGAATCTGCTCCCTGAGCCACACCAGACTTATAAATCCCTGACACATACATCTTTAACACCTACTCCTAGTTGATTACACCTATGATTTTCCCTGACACATACAGATGTAATACCAACCCTGGTTTGCTTACCCCCAGGATTTTTGCTGACACATACTTCTGTAACAACGACTCCTGGTTGATTACCCCCAGGATTTTCCCTGACACATACAGATGTAATACCTTCCCTGGGTTGATTACCCCCAGAACTTTCCCTGACACATACAGATGTAATACCTTCCCTGGGTTGATTACCCCCAAGATTTTCCCTGACACATACTTCTGTAACACCTACTCCTGGGTTGATTGCCCCCAGGATTTTCCCTGACACATACATCTGTAATACCTACCCTGGGTTGATTACCCCCAGGATTTTCCCTGACACATACAGCTGTAATACCTACCCTGTGTTGATTATCCCCAGGATTTTCCCTGACACATACATCTGTAACACCTACCCTGGGTTGATTACCCCAGGATTTTCCCTGACATATACATTTGTAATACCTACCCTGGGTTGATTACCCCCAGGATTTTCCCTGACACATACATCTGTAACACATCTCCTGGTTGATTACCCCCAGGATTTTCGCTGACACATACATCTGTAATACCTACCCTGGGTTGATTACCCTCAGGATTTTCCCCGACACATACATCTATAACACCTACTCCTGGTTGATTACCCCCAGGATTTTCCCTGACACATACATCTGTAATACCTACCCTGGGTTGATTACCCCCAGAATTTTCCTCAACGCATACATCTGTAATACCTACCCTGGGTTGATTACCCCCAGAATTTTCCCTGACACATACATCTATAACACCTACCCTGGGTTGATTACCCCCAGGATTTTTCCGGACACATACATCTGTAACACCTACTCCTGGTTGATTACCCCCAGGATTTTTCCGGACACATTCTTCTGTAACACCTATTCCTGGTTGATTACCCCCAGGATTTTCCCTCACACATACAGATGTAATACCTACCCTGGGTTGATTACCCCCTGGATTTTCCTGCTCTAGCCAATCTGGCCCTCCTCCATGAAGAATCTGCTCCCTGAGCCACACCAAACTTATAAATGCACAAAGTGTACATGTCACCACAAAACAGCCATGAAAGCAATCTGATGCCAGGTTATCACTGAAACAAAAATGTTATTTATAACTACATGCTTTCAAAGGATAAGTCAAACCAGAATGACCTGTAGCCTTGACATTTACCTAGAATATTTAATTCCTATGATAACATTCACTTGTGAACTGTTCAGAGTTAAGTGTACAAGTCTAATACAGTGATTAAAGTTTTCCTATGCTACATTATAGAGATAGTGACTCATAATAAAAGGTTAACATGTCATTGTTGTCAGACTAAAGCAGAATGTTCTGATGTGATATACTGTAATTATTCAATCTTTAAAATTCTTGTCAGTTACAACTATTTCATAGCAACATGACTTTGTTCCTCAGATAAACTGAAATTATATATATAATTCTAAACATGATAAACACTCCACTTCTGGAGAGTGATCCCGATACAGCTGATGTCATCAATATCATCTACCTCTACGTAGCAATACTTACGTAGAAAGCATGTCTAGTGGTAATGTGAGGAGAGAACTGACAGAACCCGTGAACAGGCATCGGTAAATACGACCTGTAACAGATATGAAATTACAGTATGACTGTAAAGGTAAAGAGTATCCTTAAGTTTTAAGATTTCTACGTCATTAAACATCCAACATAATTTTACTAGCAAAACTTAATTAAGATTTCAAAATGAAAAAATAAATATATTACATAACAAACCAAACGGTTGTGGGGTAATATCCCCTGAAACAGACCACATCTTCGATGACCCTTAGGGTGTTGTGGTAAAGACATGTTTGCCCTTTACTACCGATGAAGGGAAGGTGTGAACGACACACTTACTATAGTATTGAACAAAGTATTGATACTATTGTATTGAAGTATTCAAATAATCGAGTCAAGTATACAACGACCTCTGTGATTGGTCGTGGGCGGAGTTTAGACAACCTGAATAGTTGATCTGACACCCAATTTGTTCCGGTAGGCGGAGTTAATGTACACTATCAGTTACATAACAATTACTAAGTAATCGCTGGAAAAATGTCCGACGACGGCAACAGTACGCAAAATTTTCTTCGACGAAATTATGTCCGATACGAACGATATGGGGAATCCTGTTTTTGTACAAGGCGATGTGGTTGTGATGGATAATTGTGGATTCCATCACCATAGACAGGGAGAGCGCATTTTAAGAAATATGCTGAAAGAATATGGCGTGTCCCTGGTTTTTCAGCCGCCTTATTCCCCGGAATACAACGTAACTGAATATGTATTCAATGTCATGAGACAGAGGCTTCGGGCAAATACCCGACTTGTGTCAGAATTTCTGGAACTTGCAGTAGTAAATGCTCTAGATATTCCGCCCAACCAACTTCAAAGTTTTTTCACATGTTGCGGATATGTATAATTTTCGATGGAAAGATAAAAAATAAAATAAAAAATATATGGGACCACAGAATTCCTTTATTTTTTAATGCAGTATGAATTATCGGCATATATCAGGAGGTCCCAGGTAAATCGTAATTCTTTGTTACATATAATAGAGCTTGGGCTTAAACCGAAATATTTTGAGCCAACCCTCCCCCCCCCCTCCCTTTCAAATAAATAAATAAATAAAACTAGTACAGAATGACTATATGACTATATTCACTGTTAAGATGTTATGAATTCTCCGGTCCCAGTGATCTAACCTGTTGATATATATTTTGTACGTAAATTAGTTTAGTACTGAGTAACTTTCGTTTTCTCGTTGTACCATCGATGGAAAAGCAAGGTATCATTGGGTGTAGAACGAAACAAATGGGACAACCCAATTAGGTCTGATCTGAAGCCACCTGTGACTTGGACTCTTCCAATTAACCTCTCGCGACAGTCGAGTGTTTGTAAAATGCCGATGTCTGCACAGTATTTTTTCACCTGGCTCCACCCACAATCGATCTAGACTTGGCTCTGCCAATCAGAGAGCTTGTTGCATAAATTTAAGGAATTCGATTGGTGAAGTACTTCAGTACAATACTATCAATACTTTGTTCAGTACTACAGTACTTGAAACGTTCACACCTTCCCTTCATCGGTAGTAACAATTACAAAGACTTACAGGCAGTGAGTGGTACAACCCCCAACCATGCAAAGGCCACTAATGTGTAGTGGAACCAATAGCGTATCGCACGGCCAACACTTGTGAGAAGGCCACTGAAGATATCCTTGATGGGAAGTCGCTTTGGCATGTCCGGGGAATAAACTAAAACAAACAATTAATTGAAAAGATCAGGTAAGCACTCAATGCAATAGAAAATATGAACAAAAAGTGCCAGAGAAAACACCATTTTATCTTTAATCTATGTCCTAGAGTTGATGTATTTGTACATGCGATATATATCATCTGTTAATTCAAATGCAAATTTAGTGATGATACATACATTCCTCGACAGACAGATATTGTATATTGAAAAGTACAAATATTCAAAATAACATACATAACATGAAATATATTCGATGTTTGAATTATAAAACAAATTTTTACATGATGTATCTACCACACACATTTATATTACCTGATGAACAGTAATTCAGGGGTTTTATTTATTTGATAATTAACATTTTCACATTTTGATTTGATGGGCTAATCAACAGGATATGAATTGCAAGAATAGATCTGATATAATATATTTCCCAAAGAGACCTTTGACTTACTTGGAGTGAATGTGAATCTGTGCTTGCATAGTTCACAGTATTCTTTTCGACTATATGTTAACCATTGTAAAAGACTGAAAAAACAAAAATATACAAAGATTTTTTAACATGAAATTTCAAGCTCCTAATAGATTTCTTCAATGTAAAAATAATTAATACTTAAATACAATATAATATATATAATATAATTAAATCTATAAAAGGATGCAAAGGGTCTAAAAAGACAAAGTAGCGACAAATCAATAATTCATGATAATAATTATCTTTGAAAAGCATGATATTTTGAAAGATAATTTCAGCTCACCATTGATTATTTATGTTTAATATCTAAGCTTATGATATAGCCATGTTTCCTTCCAATACATAACTAGACAGAAGACATATATCTGGTGTGAGACAAGAATACATTACTGATGATACCAATTGTCTGCCGAAGGTTTAAAAGTGACAGATGTGGGGCAAGAAGTCACCTGGTCTTATAATTATCACTACATGCCAACACAACTAGTGAAATAAAAATTAAATGGGTTTTGTATTTACCAGTCTTGATGTATGTATCGTATACTTCCTGTGCACACACATGGGTGATACAAGGGCTTATCTGGCGTACTCTCACATCGACATACACGGCATATGTCTGAAAACGAAATTGAACATTTCATCATAAGAGCGAAGCTCTACACCAGGAACATGTGTAAGACCACATTTTCTTCATGTATAGGACAAAGGTTCCAGGACTTGACCACTCTGAGATAAATTGTTTCAGAAGTTAAAAACATGAAGCATCAGGAAGTGAATGGCATAGATCACTAACAGGTGCTTTGCACTTAACCTATAGCTAAATTTACAGTGTTAATGAAAAACACTATGACAGCATTTTCACTTAACTGACTTTCTTTTACTTACTTTTCATTATACTAAACATAAAGATGATTCTACATAAATGAAATAGGCAAGAATCAAAATTTTTTATTCCTTTAAGTACTCAGCATATAAAGCCAATGCAATCTATATCATTATGTCATATACAGAAACACACAAAATGTTGACCACACAATAGTTGCTTGATCTTCGCTTGCTGTAGCAAGTCAAATTTTCCTTATTTCTTGAAGCTCTAACTAGTTAATAAAAATTCATTGATGTCTTATTTCCTTGATACTTTCAACTGAGAATCATTGTGGCATGACAGCTTAGCTCTTTCCAGACACTGCCTGACCTGTATTATAAATCTATAACCCCATGGGTATGCAAAAGGAGTTCACTTTTAGGATAATATAACTGAGAGGTGTCCTTTATTGCTCTTTTTTAAACCTCAATTTGTACAACAAATATAAATACCTAGATGGTAAAGCATACAAAATTGTACTAAAGAGAATCTAGATATGATGTTATGATGTATTGGGCGTAAATCATAGTCGTCTAATTTACCTTTAACTATAAAACCCTTTCTTATCCTCATATGATAAATATTATTATCAAAAGCTTACATTGGTACATACTGATGATATGATCTCGATCGAATGTTTACAGTAGCTAGGTCCAATATTAAAAAAAACTTGTAGGAAATAACAGTGGTTAGTAGTACTGTACCAAAACTGGTGGCAGAATAATCATATAACAATACCAATATAAATGCTGGATATATTTAACTTATTTACGGCTTGTAAATTATTCATAATACACATATAAATATCCTTCATCCGAACACAAATGAGATGAAAACCAACATATTCCATGTGTGTACCTGTTTGTCCGTCTTGTTCTTGTTCCTCCATCTTGTCACATACTCGTGTCGTAAAATGTATGTCGGCTATCGAAATTTCTATGTTATCAATATATAATATACATATACATCCAACGTATACATTGTAAAAATAATGTATTGTTTTTAGAGATAGTTTAATTTTTAAGCAGATCTTTATTTTATTACAATATTACGACATAGGATCACCGGAAGTCACTGCGCATAGACCCGTTGGCGTCATTATTTAGGAAACTAAGGACGCGAAGTAGGAGAAAATGTGAAAATGTCCGACGACGAAAGTTACTCTTTGGCCATCGAAACCACTCCTATAGATTTCGAAGAAGCTGAAAAAGAAACTAGAGCTACTTGGGAACATGAACAATTAGCACAGGTTAGAACAAATATCGAGAACTTGTTTTTTTTAAGTCGAGTCCCAATCCTGGGCCGTGTACGATGCTTTTCTTTGACAGGTTGAGCACAACACCACATGGATGTCTAGATATACGTAGTCCTGCATTTGAGTGATACTTTTTGCTTTTAGTAATAAATTTGTCATTAATATGGAATAGTTTGAAATAGAAACTCATAAGTCCATCTTTTTACACATTTAGAAAAAATGGGCATCGTTTAACAGGAAGGAGTAATGAAAAACGCTATGCCACTGCTGAGGTTCGAACGCTCGACTAAAGGGAAATTTCCACTAGCCGAGTCTAGTAAGGCGACCCGCACTCTTAACTTCTACACTACTCTCTCATTCACAAAGTCTTCGACCCCAAAGACAACAACACAAGTTCCATTTTCCATGGAAGCATCTTAATCTCCTATAGTTTCTACGATTTGAGTGGTCAACAGCACCAAATCTATAATAGAAAGGAGTAATGAAAAAGACCGGTCCCTTATGAGGTTCAAACTAGCGACCTTTTGGTCTCTAGCCGGACACCGTACCACCTGACTAGTGAAAATTTCCACTAGCAAAGACTAGTAAAGCAATCTGTACTTTCTACTTCTGTAATAAATTTTTTGACATTGCTGAATAACCAATGTAACATTATACTTGTCATTTTTACACTAAAAGTTAATAATTTGGCTATCTCTAAAAAAAAATACAAATTTAATCAATTCTTCTGCTTGTACTGTGGTTGATAATAGTACACAGACAAATTCATGCTCACCTATGATATGTGCAACAAAATGCTAAATGTTCCCAGTTGTTATTTTTGCACAGAATAAAATATATATTTCTCATGCAAACATATACAGTGTCACATTGGCTATTGGGTTATGTTAAAAAGATCATGTTTTTCTTTGTTGCAAATGTTTTTAAGAACCTTGCTCACATGTTTCTATTTTAAATTATCCAAATGTATTAACTAACTGTCACTCAAATGCAAGATGTTTTTTTTGAATTAGATGGGGTTTTTTTTATAAAGTTACATTTATGAATATGTATGATATGTACAGAATATAAGAACTTATACATAAATGTACATGTATTTTTTTTCTGCAAATCCAAAACCAAACCTAATATGAAAGTTTTGATGTTTAATCAGCATTTGAGTTCTTTAAAATACATGGATGTTGGAATAATTCAGACTTCCTGACTGGTATGAGGCAAAATGAATGACCATGATGCTTCAATTTTGACGACATCTGAAAAGTTTATTCATCAAAATTTGACATGATATGCTTGCTCACTTTTGTTGATAAATTGATGCAATGTAATAAAAAAAAAAAACCTCGTAACCAAAGATGACATTTAAACAAATAAAGATATGATATGAATATCTTTAAAGTAATAATGACCTACAACTATATAGTTCATAATGTAGTTTCAAGGATTTACACTAAGGGAAATATTTTCAGAGAAATGTATTGATCTTTCATTACCAGGTACGGATAAAAGTGTTTAGGGGACATTTTGGTGATGTGAACTCCTGTCAGTATATCGACAATGATACCAAAATTTTATCTGGATCCTCTGACAAGACAGTAAAGATTTGGAATATTGACACTGGCATAGTGTCCAATACCTACAACTGTCACTCAGACACGGTCAGTGCTGTCAGCATCAATGACAATGGACGCAGGTGAGATACCAGTTTGACAGCAACTCTCTGTGCATTCATTCTGATCTGTCAAAAATTAACATGGGAACCCTTTTTGAAATAGTTGACAGACAATTGTTTTCTTAAAGAGAAAATTAGATTAAATATTTGACTTGCTTAGCTCAAACTATCACACTAGTTAATATAAAATGTTTCATATCCTTCGCATTGGTTCATATATTTTTTTTTATGAAAATTGAATATAACGATTATGTAATTAGATCCATGATAATTTGAACAGTTCAAACAGCAATCATACACTATTGAATTTTGTTGTCAGTGGTGTGTACTCTATATATTATCACAAGACATCATGATGGATTCAATCCCCAATTTTAACTTAACTGTAAAGATGGTTTTGTGGTGTAGTAGGTGTACATGAGGTAATTTAACTGATCTATTGAGATTCATTTTGCATTGCATTGTATAGCTCTAGTGTTTATCCTCGTCTGTTTAAGGTTTGCATCTTGTGGCTGGGATAAGAAGGTTGGTGTTTGTGATGTTGAGTCTGGGAACATGTTGGTAAGTATTAGCACATCATTCCTGTGGTTGCCATATGTTTTGTTCACTTTGTCATGTATTTGCTATATCATTATCATTTAAGTTCCATAAAATGAAACAAAATGTTTTGAAATATACGAGCCCACTTTCAGCAATTAATCCTAAAGTAGTGAAATTTACATGTTTATACATGTGTCAATTTATGTCTGTTTATTGATGATTTTGTGGATATAAAAATTTGCGGAAAAAGCAACCACATATTCTACGAAAAGGAAACCATGATGAAAATAAACAATTTTACGTTACTCTAGGTGTGGGTTTTAGTATATTTGATTTATCAAAGCTTTTGCACAGGTATTTGATTTCTAACTTGTAGTGGTCAGGAAAGCATGCTGGGATAGTGACCAGTTGTAAATTTTCTCATGACGGGAAGATGGTTGTCTCGGGATCTGACTTAGATAACACATTGAAAATCTGGGACGCCAATTCTGGTGAACTTGTCTACAATATAGAAGGTAAATTCATTTAACTTTACTCTGTCCTGTCAGTTTCATATTCTAAACAAAAATGATATCCTTTTTGTTTATTTTTTAATTTACTGGAATGTCTGAGGATGTCATTTTGTTGTAATATATGCAAATTGTTTTGGTTCAAATACTATGATGAAGGTTCAGATGTAAAATCATGGCATTACAATACTTATACTTACAGATATGCATACTAGCACCATTACAAGTTGTCAGTTTGCCCCTCTGGATGACAAGGTCATCACTACCTCCATGGACCAGTCTGCTAAATTCTTTGATCTTCGCTCCAACAAAGTCACCATCACAGTTGAGTAAGTGCAGTTACATCAACACAATAAACTTTCTAATAGTTGGTAGGGATCAAGAAATTCATCATTTTTATTTGATTAAAGGAAATATTTGTATATAAATGGACTGAGAGTTAACACTACTATGACTAAAATAGACCAAATAAATGAACATGAAATAATGATTGAATTGAGAATCAATATGATTAAAACTTTTTCTTTATCTATAATCTCCACTTCATATGTCCATTAACTATACACTGCTCTAATAGGTTGTAGTCATCAAAACAGACACCAGTAAAATTTTCTGTAATTTATTTTTTTAAGCAGTGGCCATATCAATGTCATATCTTCCTGTGATGTAACATTTGATGAGCGAAAGTTTGCCACTGGTTCTTGGGACAAAAGTGTTGGTATCTGGGATATTGCCACTGGAGGCTACAGGTATGCATATATGTATATATACCTCATATACACCCAGTATCCACTTATCAGAGTCTTGGTGTGCCACAAGCGGCTACACTCAGTGTATATATAACCAAGTCCCCACATACCTGAGCGTGTGTTATTATTATTCCTACAAACAGGATATATTGATATATAGCATCTTACTTGCCATGTTTTTATGTTGATATGCCTCTTAACTGTCCAGGTTTAATTCTTAGTTTTAAAGTTTTGACCCTTTAACCTCTGGTGGTTTTAGATCCAAGGGTCCTTTGACTCTTTCTGGTAGCCATGACGGGTCGGTGAGCTCATGCTGCTTCAGTAATGATGGCTTGATGTTGGCCACAGGTTCTTATGATAAAACTGTTGTGGTGTGGGATGTGGAAAACCAAGTTCAGAAACTCAAGTTACAGGTAAGTACAAATGTCACGAAGAAAAATCATTTAAACAGCTAGATTCTTCTTCACAAATATAAAAGTTCTATTTTTCACTGCAATGACATTGCTGTAACTGATCGAAAGTTTGTAAAAGAATAAGATACACATGTATCACCTTATAATAGCCACATTTTTAACCCCACCCACCTTGATAATAACCAATCATTTATTGCATCCCTACCAACTTAAAGTCTCTAAGTTACATGACAATAATTTCAATGCCTAGTGCCTAGTAATGCTGGAGCTAGGTGATGCTGACTCACTGATATAAACCCCTTTTCAATTTCTTCTCATTGACCTTTCCTTTTCCAGGGCCATGACGACTGGGTGTTAGATGTGGCCTTTACTAAAGACATGCAGCATGTAATGTCTGCTTCCAAGGTGTGTATAAGATATTGTAGTTGATGTTTGCCCCCAATGTGTATAAGATAAGTTTCTGTGTTAAAAGTGTGTAAAATATATTGTCCTTAGTTTCTGTGTTAAATGTGTGTAAAAGATATTGTCCTTAGTTTCTGTGTTAAATGTGTGTAAAAGATATTGTCCTTAGTTTCTGTGTTAAATGTGTGTAAAAGATATTGTCCTTAGTTTCTGTGTTAAATGTGTGTATAAGATATCGTCCTTAGTTTCTGTGTTAAAGGTGTGATAAGATATTGTCCTTAGTTTCTGTGTTAAAGGTGTGTATAAGATATTGTCCTTAGTTTCTGTGTTAAATGTGTGTATAAGATATTGTCCTTTGTTTCTGTGTTAAATGTGTGTATAAGATATTGTCCTTAGTTTCTGTGTTAAATGTGTGTATAAGATATTGTCCTTAGTTTCTGTGTTAAATGTGTGTATAAGATATTGTCCTTAGTTTCTGTGTTAAATGTGTGTATAAGATATTGCTAATTGGTTGTCTGCCTCCAGAGCCTGTATACATATAACCTGGCAGTTTATCCCTGGATGTATGTATAATATTACATATTTGTTCATTGTATTTGATATCAGCTTTCCAAGATACTTTTTGTACTCCAGACCGATATTATTGTAACTGCATAAATTCCAAGATGATCTGAATATTTTGGATCTTACTATTGTATTGTTTGTATTTTGTCATTCTTTAAGCCAGTTACACATTAAATCAGTGTGCAATGAAGTAAACTTGGTATCAGTTTCATGCATTAGTTTGACCTAGTATGTATAATTACAGGATAGTACTATACGGATCTGGAATGTAGAGGAGTCTGACAAAATCCCTGTTGTCATGGAGAGGAAGAAGGCTATAGGCCTCAAGATAATCAAGGTAATGTGTTGGGACAATAGTTATGGCTTATTATCCCAAGGGTATAGACATTTACCCAATGTAAATTGAGGAAGAGGAGTATACCAGTACTATTCAAATCACACATTTCAAAAGTAAGACAACTAACTTTACTGTGTCTACTGAATGCATATTTCCTATAGATCTAAATCTAAAATTGAATTTTTTTATGAGTTTTAAGAAAATAATTTATAACTTGCCCAAGGAAGGGAACTTTAATTATCATATTATTGTAACTAGCTAAATGTAATAAGGTAAATCAATGATTGTTTCAGTGTGGCAAATGTGGAAAGCCATTTTCCATGACACAGTTGGAGAGCTTCCGTGATGTGTCTGTCTGTGTGTTCTGTCGCCTGAAGAACAGAGAGAAAACAATGCTGGATATCATGAATATGGTGGATTCCTGATCCCTTCTAATCCTCTTTGTATTCATTAATGTCACCGTCCATCACTCAGGTACCATAATATCCTGTTACTTGATCATTGGAGTGCCTTCCTGTGACAAAGTTAGTGCAACTATAGTATCCAGTTCCTGAGTTGGAATGACTTCCTGTGGCAAGATAGGAGGCACTTCGTCTGACAGGGTTTGGAACAACTTCCAATAACAGTATTGGAGTTACTCCTCGTGACAAGGTTGGAATGACTTCTAGTCACAGGATTGGACACACGTCCTGTGACAGGGTTAACAGGAATCTGTGAAGTGTTTGTATGACTTCTGTGACTGTTAACAGAATTTCTGATACCAGAATTGAAGTGACTTCCTGTGGGCTTGTGACATTGTTCTCTACTATTGTGTTACACCTGGCACCAAGCATGTCTGTGATAAAGAATTTGTTGTGTCAGGTTGTGTTGCAGTATAAAGCATTTATCAGTGAAAAGATACTACATGCATCATTATATATCAGCATATCATGACCCAATTTTCTTAAACCCTGGGAGCCAGGGTCAGTGGCTGACTTTAGCAAATAGTATTAATAGTAATTCTACTAAACAACAATAGATGTTGACAGACTTGTCACAAGTATTTATTTAAACATTTTGTTTAACAGACCACTGTGAAGAAGGCAGTCTATTGTAATTTTTTTTATCAATCACATAATTTATTTAACTTTCAGAGTCACAAGGTTAACCTTGTGTACATTTTGTATAACATGTAATAATGTGTATTGGTTTTATGTCATTCTTCTGAATATCTATTGAATTATTTTGTTAAATATTGATAACCATTGCTGTAAAAAAGAAACATATTTATTGACAAAATAAAGTACTGGTCTAAAATCTGTTAGTGTGCTTTGTATTTGTTTGTTACTTCTCTAGGCTTTAGAAGTATCTGTATTATAGTCAGCAGACATTTTAACTGTGAACTCAATGAAGCTTTCATCTACACAAACACATGTATCAGATACAAACATTTCTGGCAATCCTACAGTCATAAATATAATTAATTGTCATGTGAAAAAAACAAAACAAACTAATAACAATGATTTCGTATGAATAATTTATTTTGACCCTGACATAAATGTACATGTATATTGATTTTGCTAGCTCAATAGTGCATCAGGGTGGTATGCATGGTGTAAGTGTGATATGTACTTTATTTTCTCAGTGGTAAGTTAGTGTGATGTAAGTGGAATATGTGTTGTGTAAGAGTTGTGTAAATGTGGTATTTGTTGTATAACTGTGGTATGTTTTTATTAGTGTGTTTTATTGTGTAAGTGTGTTGTTTATTGTAGTGCATATGTGATATTTGATATTTGAGGTTATGCATGTGTTGTGTGAGTGTTATGTGTTTTGTGGATGTGTGGTATGTGTTGTGTTTTGTGGATATGTGGTATGTGTTGTGTGTGTGTTATTTTTTGTGGAAGTGTGGTATGTGTTGTGTGAGTGTTATTTTTTGTGGAAGTGTGGTATGTGCTGTGTTTTGTGGATATGTGGTATGTGTTGTGTGAGTGTTATGTTTTGTGGAAGTGTGGTATGTGTTTAACACATGGTGTTAAGTGTGATACATGCATCCTATATATTATAAGTTTTTCTAGGAGTTCAGCTATTTACAGATCAATATTCCTACAGGCTTTAATGCCATTTGAGTATAAATTTCCACTTCAATTAATGCTTTTATTATACATAAATATCAGTAAAAGCAGGAAATTTTCCACAAAATTCTACACAAAGAACTACTCTCCCTGAAAATATATATTGCTATTATCTCATCATGGTGGCCATCTTAAATTCAGACTGACCAATCCAAATGCAGCATTGGTCATATCAGGAAACTAATACAGGATTTCAGAAGAAAAATAGTAATAGCACTTTGGTCGACATCATCTAAGGATCATTGTAATCCAAAACAATAGTAGCACTGGCAGCATAAATCATTGTACATTTCCACCAAGTTCTGGATTTCACAACCACATTTTTCATTGCACTTCAAAGACAAATAAATGTGTGTTTTGGACATGATGATTATCACTTACTCTAAAAAACCAAAACATTGGCAATTTTTTTTTATTGAACTTGAAATTTTTTTTTTCAAATGGTTTTGATTTGAAAAACAGTTGATTGAGAAATAATGTCTCAAAAAGGCTACTCTAGTGGAATATTGTGAACTTAGGATGATGCCAAAATTATCACTTTACTGTTTGGACCACTATGGCATTTCCAATAATTTTCAGTTCAAATCACACTCTTAGATCCTGGGAAGATGCTTAAAATCTCTCAAGTTAGTGGCCATATTGAATTTCTGAACCTAAAATTAACATCATTTGGTCAGAATATTAGGATTATTGCTAGCAAGTAGTACTTCATTCCACTGCTACAATTCATGAAAAAGTTCAAAAAGTGAAAAGTTTATGCATTGTGGCAGAGGATAGATAAAACATGATGACAAGAAATCACTCTGATTCTTCAAGTCAGTTGACATACCAAATTTAATCAATATAGCCAATCTTATGAGTTGACATACCAAATTTAATCAATATAGCCAATCTTATGAGTTGACATACCAAATTTAATCAATATAGCCAATCTTATGAGTTGACATACCAAATTTAATCAATATAGCCAATCTTATGAGCTGACATACCAAATTTAATCAACACAGTGAATTTAATGAGTTAACATACCAAATTTAGTAGTGAATCTGATGAGTTGACATACAAAATTTAATCAATATTAATAGTGACTCTTACGAGGCTAATTTGTGATTTTAGAAGAACAAGAGGTACCAAATAAAGTTTCAGATATTCAAAATAGAATTGATCAAAGGGAATATAGAAATTAAACAGTAGAAATATCCTTATCAGTGTTAAATACTGAGGAAACAGTCTTTTGCCATATCCTCTAAGTAAATATATGAAAGCATTAATGAGATTCACGACAAATTGGGCTACCATGATTATTTTCATTCACTCTTAATCTCAACAATGATACACTTAAAAATAGTCGTGAAAATTCCAACTATGCTCAATCAATAAAATACAATGTTAACTAAATGAGGAAATGTAATTACTTCATGCAAATTGGATACAGATGTTCTCCCTTACCCATGTATCCTGTACTTACAATAAATATAAATATATATATAAGTAATGTGTTATCAGTGATGTCCACACACCACTCATAACTAATAGTGATAACAAATTGAAGACATGGCACAACAAAGAACAATTATTTTCAAACATGAAACGTTTTCAGCAGCACTTATTCTAGTATGTAATTACCACACCCCGTTCTGTGAACAAGTACCTCATCACTAACAATACCATATTCACATTTGGCACAATATACAAATACAAATAATTATAATTATTATTATCGTTATTATTATTACATTCTTAACGGCCTGTCAACACATAAAAGGTAATTAGGGCCATCAAACAGTAAAACACACAGCGATCCAAGAAGAAATAACATTAAATAAACCAAAAGGTAAATGACAAACGTTAAAAATCTTAAATGGACACGTCAACACAAAAGATTAAAATGGTATGTCATAGTCTATTATATAGACCAACATCTTCCAATCTTCCAGGTAATGTAGAATTTTACAAATCTCAACAGTTTCAAAAAGGGATTTTAGACATATAATGTTACGATAAAAACATTCTCGAGTAGACAGAAGGTCACTGCTGTCCAATAAAAAATGTTTAATGGTGAATGGCTCATCACCTTCTATGCACCAAGGATTATCTTCGCCTTTCAATATATATAAAAGTGTAAGGTATGTATGACCTATCTGAAGAACAAGGACAACTTCGTCTCGGTGGTTATCTCTATAGCCTGGAGACCATTCACCGATAACAGGTTTAATGGAGTGCAATTTGTTATTGGTATAGGTATTCCAATCCTCCTGCCACTGAGCTTTTAAAATTTGTTTAATGAATGGTTTAAAATTGGGAAAATTAAGTTTAAAAACAACAGGTGGTAGCGATAAAGCTTCCTTTGTGGCACAATCTGCTATTTCATTGCCTGGCATTCCCATGTGGCCAGGAACCAAGCAAAAAGCAATACCAAAGTTAAAGACAACTTCATGATACAGAGTTAATGTATTATGAATGAAAATATATTCGATATTTCTATTGCTTAGACTTTGTAGAATAGTAAGAAAGTCTGAATGGATAACAGCTCTCATTACTTTGTTTCTTTGAATATATTCAAGGGTGAGGTAGATAGCTCGCGCTTCTGCCGAGAATATTGAGGCGTTGTTCGGTAGCTGGCATCCATAGGTTTCATCTTGTGTAACCATGGCCACAGCAACCTTATCATTATCTTTTGAACCATCAGTATATACATGTAGAAATGTTTCATATTTTAACTGCAATTTCGAGAAGGATGAACGAAAGGTATAACTGTCTGTGTCTGATTTAACCACTTCATGAAGTGAAAAGTCAACTTCAGGTGAATTCATGAGCCAGGGTGGAATTTCTATCGTTCCAAATGACTGAATTTGGTTAACATCAATATTTGTGTTTTGTAAAAGAGCAGAAATTTGAATACCAATGGAATGGTTTTTGGTTTGCCTTGGAACAAGGTTTTATATTTTGGGTCAAATACAGGGGAAAAAGCAGAATTTGAAGGATTTGACCTTATCTGAATGGTGTATTGCAAAGCTAATTTATTTCGATGGCTATATAGTGATGGTTCATTAGCCTCTACATAGAGGCTTGCTGTAGGTGTGGTCTTAAAAGCTCCGAGTGCGAGCCTGAGACCTTGGTGATAAAAAGTGTCTAATAATCTTAATATGAAGGTCTAGCAGATCCATACACGATGGAACCGTAGTCCAATTTGACCTAATAAGAGCTCATTAGAGTCTTAGCAAAACTTTTCTCTCTGCTCCCCAATCAGTGTGGGACACAACCTTTAGACTATTCAGTGCCTTAAGGCATTTGTCTTTAAGGTATTTTATGTGTGGAAGGAACAACAATTTCCTGTGGAATATTACACCTAAGAATTTTGGTTGCTCAACAACCAGAATGGGAAAACGTGAAACATTACATGTTGATTTAGACAGTTTGGTACATAAATAATTCAAATTTGCTAAACATTTAAGTTTATTAGTTAAAAGTTATGTAAGTATACAACAGATCACTCTAGCACACAATTATCGTGAAGGAGATAAAATCACAGAAATAAATAAATAGTAACAGGTATTATGCAAAATCTGTACTGAGAATTATGAAATTAATTTGAGTACAAACTTACAATGATGACAATAAAACAGCTAAAAAAATACAAATGCACCAGTTTAAATAAATACCATCACCAAACATAATAGCACAACCCATGAGTGAGTGGTAGGTCTGCATAGATACCTTGTTTGTGGTCCCACAATTGGTATATAGGGAGCAAATCCTAATTTTTGGGGCTGCAGTGGCCTAGTGGGTAAGGTGTCTGACCAAGTTTATAACCAGCCTTCCACCTCTTGGTCACAGGTCCAAGGCCTATGCGGAGTAGTTGCCAGGTACTGACCACAGGTCAGTGATTTTTGGGAAAACTCTAGCTTCCTTCCACTATCCTTTAATGACCATGGCTGTTAATAGGACATAAAGCAAGACAGTATAAGTCTTATGTAGTGTTAAATGCAATTTCTGTTGCAAATCAACACCTTTTCCACTGTCCTACCACTCACTCTTTAGATACAATACTTAATGTTTCAGAGTCTGATGGGTCAAGTTCTTCCTGTTTAGGAATGCCCATTATAAAGCCTGAATTAAGATTAATAGGACTGCTTCCTTCATCCTGTCTGTCCTCACCACTGGAACCTTGACCGTTTCCCTGACATGGGTCAGTAACACTGTCCCCCTGGTGTTCCTGCTGATGGACTTGGTATGTGTCATATTGAGTAAAGGATTTGGCACAGGTCGGACATTCCAACAACTGGCCACCATGGTGACGTTTCAGATGGATCTTGAGGGTGCTGTTCTGGGCAGTGGCATACTCACAGTATGTACACTTAAACGGCTTCTCACCTTAAAAATGTAAAATATTCTTCTAAAACTGTATACAAGGACACTTTAATTAGTAACATACACAATTAACACACATTTTACTGGAAATGAAAAGAGGATGTTACTTGTTTTTTGATGAATAATAGTTACACACACATTTCATCAAGTAGGGTTACAACTTATATATTTCTCATGAATCTACAGCACAAGTCAAAATTTAAATGTTTCTGCAAGTAAAAGCACATTTTCAGCATTTTCCACTCCAAAAAGAACCTGCACACATTACACATGTATTAGGACATTTTGTAGCTGTACTTGTTTGTGTATTAGATGTTACATACTTGTAATTACTGACATGTATGTAATCAGACTTTGTGTACCTGTAATTACCTAATACCTGAATGATTTTAGATACATTTCAGATATAATCACTTACCTGTGTGTATAGATATTCTGTACCTATAATTACTTACCTATGTGTATAAAGTTAGTCTGTACCTGTGATTACTTACCTGTGTGTATAGATACTCTGTACCTATAATTATTTACCTATGTGTATAAAGATAGTCTGTACCCGTGATTACTTACCTGTGTACTTACTTGTACATATATAGATATTTCATACCTGAAATTACTTACCTGTATGTATGCGGATGTGCACCTTTAGATGACTCCTCTCCACAGTAGAGTAATCACATTGCTGGCATTTGTATGGCTTGATACCTGTTTTTAGGAAAGTCAACTGGTTATTTCAAAGAGCACTGAAAACATCCATCATAGACTGCCAATCAGACTGATTCACTAATTATTGAACAAATGCAGAGTAGAAAGAGCTTGTCTCAAACTTAATGGCTAATAATCTCTAGTTAAATAATTTTCTACAGATACACAGATTTTCAAGTAAACGTCATTCACAATTCTGTCAGTATCCCAGAACAAGATGCCCAATGGGCCTGTACCTTTCACGATGTATTGAATGTTTTACACAAATACATTAACATTTTGCTTTATTTACATTAAAAGCCTCGGTTAATGAGAATAAGTTGTTTGAAGGTATTAAAATGTGACATTGAAACTCTGCCTTGTCCATGATATTATTATGCTTAATGAGAATCTATTTGTTGAGAATCCCTCAAGGAATGACACTGCCAGAGTGCGAATAAACTTTCACAGAGGCAGACAAACTTTAAAAGATGCTTGGAAGATGGATGGACCTTACAACCAATTACATGTATTATGATTCTAGGCCTCTTCAGGTAAATGAAGGTATTTGGAGGTTTTCACAAAACTGTCCCATGTGACCCTGAATACAGGTCAAGGCCACTTTTGGCAAATTCTGTTGGGCTTCAACAAAGGAGGTATCAGCCAAATATCATGATTCTAGGCTTTTTGGTTTTCTAGGAGAAGTCATTTAAATGATTCAACAAATTTGACAGGTCAAGCTAATTTTTTTCTTTTTTTGTAACCTTATTGGGCTTCATCCAAGGAATGTTCTGATGAAATATCAGTATTTGGTTATTGAGAAGAAGTTGTTTGAAGTTTTTTAACAAATTTGACCCTGTGACCTTGAATACAATAATAAGCCAATGTCATTTCTTTCAGAAAAGTTAAAAGGACATAAAGGTGTTGAAGACAAATGTGGCCTTAAACTGCACAATGAATCAAAAGACAGACGTTATCTTAAAAACTGGAGGCCTCTAACATTGCTTAATATTGATTATAAAATTGCTTCTGCTTCAATTGCAAATAGAATAAAACAGGTGCTTCCAAACATAATTTATGAAAGGAAGGTTTATTGGGGAAAATATGTGATTAGTTTTTGACTCGATGCATTACTTAGAGGAAAATAACAGGTCTGGGATATTATTATTAGTAGATTTCGAGAAAGCATTTGACTCAGTTGAATGGAAATTTATATATACAGCATTGCAGTCTTTTAATTTTGGCGAGTCTCTTATTCAATAGATCAAAACATTTTATCATAATACTAAAAGTAGGATGATTAATAATGGGCATTTTTCAGATTTTTTTAATATACAGAGGGGTTGTCGTCCCTGTTTCACCATACTTGTTTATAATTGGAGTCGAAATATTAGGTTTAGCTCTTAAGAAAAACAATGGAATCAAGGGTATAAAAATAGAAGACAAAGAATATTTACTAGGGCAATATGCGGATGATGCTTTTCTGTTTCTGGATGGTTCTGAAAACTCACTTTCAAATACAATTAAAACTTTTCAATATTTCACCTTGGTGTCTGGCCTTAGACTTAATATACACAAATGTAAGGTAATGTGGATTGGAAGGAATAAATATTCAGATAGGATCTTATGCCCCGAGCTTAACCTTCACTGGTCAACTGATAAATTTAAACTTTTGGGAATAAACTTTTCATTAGAATTGTCTGAAATTATTGAAATCAATTTTAAGGATAAGCTAACTAACATTAAAAAACTATTAGGTATGTGGTCGAGACGTAAACTTTCACTTATTGGAAAAATCACAATAGTCAAAACACTTGCATTACCCATATTAACACATTTATTTTATTCTTTACCAAACCCAGGAAAAAAATGGCTTCAAAAATTTAATTCTGTTTTTTATAAATTTATATGGGGGTACAAACCTGATAGGATTAAAAGAAACACTTTGATACTTGATTATGATGAAGGTGGCTTGAAAATGATACACATAGAAAGCTTTATTAAATACTTAATGGTAAAATGGTTAAAAAGATTATACATAGGTGATGGCCAATGGCAAACTTTGACTAAAACCTTACTTAATCAATTTGGTAACGAGAGAATTTGGAATTTTAACAATGTAACTTTAAACGAAATAAGTAAAAAAATATCAAATCCTTTTTGGAAAGATACACTTTTAGCATGGATAGATTTTAAAAAATCCCAAGATAAACCTATTTACTTATTACATGAAGATATATTAAACTATGTTCCATTTCAAGATTTCAAACAATTTATAGCATTCCAACAATCTGGGGTTGAAAAGATTAAAGACCTGTTAGATAATAGATTTTATTTTCTAAATTTTGAAAATATTAAAGTTAAATGTCCTACTATGAATTTTATTCAATACTTTGCTCTGATAAGTAAAATTTCCAAAAATAAATTACATGAGTTACGACAACATAGAGATATAATTACTCCTAATGATGAAGCAAATTTATCTGATTTTCAGAAAATTATGGTTCAAAATGACTTGAAATTGGTATATAAATCCTTACTGAACAAACATAAAATAGATCCTGTAGGAAAACAAGCCAAATGGAATAGAGATTTAAATGTGAACATAAAAACTAAGATAGGTTGGAGTAAAATATATACATTAACAAAATACTGTACAATAGAAACAAAAATGCAAAATTTTCAATTTAAACTACTACACAGAATTTTGACTACTAAGGAGTTTTTATATAAAATCAAAATTACTGGTGATGATAAATGCACATTTTGTAAAAAAGAAACTGAAACACTAATACATTTGTTTTTCAATTGTGTAATTGTTAAAAGAATTTGGAATGAATTTAAGGTATGGATAAATTCAGTAAGTGATAATTTTGAAATTGATTTTTTCGATGCTTATGACATACTCTTCATTTGTGAAAAGGGCCCAAAAGTTATAAATCATCTGATCCTAACCATGAAATATTACATTTATATCTGCCGATACAAAGAAATTCAACCAACATTTACAGAATGTAAAACTCTCATTTATCAACAAAATGAAACTGAAAAATTTATTTCAAAAATTAATAATTCATTTGAAAAATATCAAGCAAAATGGTCTCCCCTGAACATTTAAAGGGACAAAACTACATCCTACACAGCATAGTGACAGCCTTACTTACTCAATCAGGTAGTGATTTATATATATGTATGTTATCGTATTAATGTCAAGATTATTGGTATATCAATGTTAAAATTTGTTTTGTATTGTTACTGTATATGTAAAGTATGTCCATGTTTTGTATGTATTGTATATGTCATTGTCTTTTGTTAATAAAAGTTTGGAAAAAAAAAAAAAAGGACATAACTAGAGACCAAAGGGAATCTTCATAATGAAATCTGAAAAAGACTCATCAAGTATTTCTCAAGAAATAGTGCTAAACTTTCAGCATAAGAAAAATCCAAGATGACTGCCTGTCAGCCATTTTGATTTTCTGACTAAAATCAAAAGGGCACAACTATGGACAAAGGGGAACCTACACATGATATCTGAGAAAGATCGGTTCACCTGTTCTCAATAAACTTTGTCATAATTCAGTAAGCAGACCCTCTGCCATTTCCTTTCTCCATTCTGTGCCAAAACCAAAAAATCGTGATTAGGAACCAAGGGAAACCTACATATGAAATTTAACAAAGATCTATTCATTTAAGAATGGACAATGGACACTGACCACGGTTAACATAAACCCACCATCTCTTTTGGTTTTGTCATTTAGAAGACAGAATACTCCAAAACTGAATTTCTGAAGTATGCGCTGAACCATTCTGCGCCATCTGAGCTCTTTGAGCAAGAGCAGAATACAGCACAATGATTCAAAGTACAGTTTGTATCTCCTACAATTAATATAGTACACTTACCTGTGTGCTTACTCATGTGTTTTTTGAGATGGATCCTCTGGTTAAAGGCATTATCACACTGGTCACACTTGAAGGGTCGAGAGGTTGGGTATCGCCTTTTCCTTCCCTGATAATAAGCACAGTTTGGATCAAGATTAACATCAGATTCTGCATTTTGATTTGTCATCTCTGCAAACGTCACTGAGTTACCAACTTCCTCAGAAATGTCTGATGATGATTTCTGGTCAGTTGTTTGGGTAAGACTCTGGGATGGGCTGCTTGTGGGATGAGTGGGTTCAGAGGAGTGCCTTGTCTCAGTTCCTGAAATTGGGATAATGCTTGTCCTTGGGGCATTTCCTGACGATAGAGTGCTGTAGGGCAGAGGGATTGAAAATGTTGCCCCAGGCTGAAGGATAACAGAGCCATGACTTGTTGTACTTAATTTATGACTTTCATCCTCACCAGATAATCGCAACTTTAAATCCCCTTGGTCATATGTCCTTGTCTGTGACCTTGGAGGTTCGTCTCGAACATCTTCAACATCAATGTAGATAGTACCTCCACTGCGTGATTTGTCTAGACCACTATACAAACGGCGTCTATTGTATCGTGACCAGGAGTATGACATATGTTTTGTCTCTATGTGGCGTTTTCGCTTCTTTGGTATAACAGAGCTGCAGCACTTGCGTGTATTTTCATGTGTACCTGGAATAACAGTCACTCCACAGTACTGCCGCCCACAGCTGTCCTCATCACTGGGTTTCTGAACCTCTTCTGGCTCATTTTTCAGTGACTTCTCTGTCTGGCTACAACTGTCTATCACGGTTCTGTTGTTAGGAGAGGTAGTAGTCAACACATTAGACTTCTGAGGTATATTCCTAAAATCATCTCTGGGAACTTGTTCTACTGTGCAATCACTAGATAATGGATTCTTATTAGCAGATGGATCTGTCATTCTTAAATCACTGTTCATGTTCGGTGTAGTATTCCTCATCAAGACTGATCCTCCGGAGGAGTTATCTTCTACACACTCTTGTCCATCATCAGACACACTTTGGTTCTCTAGATCAGACATTTCTATTTCCATCCTCTCAGCAGCATTGTCAGAGAAGAGTGATCTAACTGATTGGGGTTTGGGATTTGGTTTACTGCTACTGGACACTGGTGTGCGAGGAGTGTCTGCTTGTGTATGAATGCTTGGGACTTGTGGGTTGATGCTGGGTATGTGTGTGCTAACTTTAGAATGTGAGGTAGTACTGGATACAACTGTACTGCTAGTTGTTGACTTTGAGGTAACATTAGAAACTTGTGTGCATTGAGCTGGTGTAAAGCCTTTAGATGCCATATCCACAATTTGACCAGACAAAAGAACAATGGGGACAACCATGCCTGCACCCACATCTTGACCCACCAACACTGATTTATCAGAAGGAGTGCTGCCATCTGTATTCAGAAGTTGCACAGGAATGTTGATTTTTGGAAGTGTGGTCGATGACTGTGATGTAACTGGGTACAGAATTGGTTGTTTTGTGGCACTGTGTCTGACGTCTATTTTCTCTGAGGTTATAGGCATAAAGGAACTGGAATGTGGAGAAGGGCTCTGTGACTGGTTCATGCTTGAAGACTGCAATTGTGGAGGCATTGATTTCTTTGACAGGTTCACTCCAGACGACTGCAGTTGTGGTGAGGTTGATTTCTGTGACTGGTTCACTCCAGGCGACTGCAGTTGTGGTGAGATTGATTTCTGTGACTGGTTCACTCCAGGCGACTGCAGTTGTGGTGAGGTTGATTTCTGTGACTGGTTCACTCCAGATGACTGCAGTTGTGGTGGGATTGATATCTGTGACTGGTTCATGCCAGTTGATTGCATCTGTGGCAGAACTGATTTCTGTGAGTGGTTCAAGCCAGTTGACTGAATCTGTGGCAAAGCTGATTTCTGTGACTGGTTCATGCTAGTGGGTTGTGCCAGTGGCGGTGTAGATCTCTGAGACTGGATCATACCAGTTGAGTGCAATGGTGATGCAGCTGACTTCTGTAAATGGCGCACACCAGACGACTGCATCTTTGTAGGGGTTAATTTCTGTGATTGGTTTGAACCTGTGGTTTGTATCTGTGTAATGATTGATTTCTGTACCTGGTTCTGAACAGTTGACTGCATCTGTTGCATGGTTGATTTCTGTGACTGGTTAAAAACAGTGTTGACAGAATGTGTAAAATCAGGATGTAAAGATCTGTTAGTAGAAAGATTTAAAGAAGGATTTTTTGGCTTGTTTGGGGAATGAAACACAGATTTACTAGATGAAGTGCTCCATGAATTTGTCCCTCTTTGATTACCTGGAGTTTCATTTGAAACTGATAACTTTATTTGGTTTGACCTGTCAAGGTCATGTGTGTTAACTGCTGGAGGAAATCTAGATGCCTTATCCTGAGGACTGCTGGATGAATTGGTAGTTGTCTGTGAATTCTCAACAACATCAATTCTGTCTGGGATGGTTCTCTTTTCTGGTTGAGCTTCATAACCTGAGGTAGAAGTTGACAAAGGTGATAGGCTGTTAGGAAAGTTGGTACTTTGTATACCTTTAGCAAAGGCACCTTTTTCCAGGAAAAGACGTAAATTGTGTGAGAATTGGACATGTTTCAACATGCCCATTGCAGTCATGAAGGCCTTGGGACAAGAAACACACTGCAAACCTGAAAATACAATAGTATGGACAAAAATGTCTAGCAATGAACTGCAACTTAAGTCGGCTTACAAAATAATTACATTCATGCTAGTCAATAATCACAATTGCTTCAGTTCAAATAGCATGTACTCACTAAGTATAGTATTAGTATGATATAGCCTGTTCTAAATTAGAATGTTTCTTGCAATTTGAAAAATAATATGCATAAAAAGGAGTTATCAAACTGTCAAAAAATCGTACAATGAACATGAATCAAATTCAAGGTGTAAATCCTTTTCCTATAAGTGAATCTTTATAATACGGTTTTTTGCAAATTTTAAATTACATATTGTCAATGAATATTGAAATAGCACATATGTACATATATGCTAACTAGGTCTTCATACACATTTTCATGAATCCTGATGTAACCATTCTGTCAATATTTTGACATTTTGAATATTAACATACCATTTTCTTTGCTTTTGTTTTCTACCTCAGTCAGTGGTCCATCACACTCTTGTTTTTTATGCTCAATGAAGGCTGTGATCCTTTGGAGGGGGAATTCACTAAGACACCTACCACAAGTTAGGTAATCTTCTTCCCCGTCACCTGTTAATGATAATTAATCTGAACTTACTAAGCATCACCTAAGTTAATCACTGAGTATGTAATGTATCACCAGAGACATATATAACACATATATATGTGATATATACGTCTCTGGTAAAACTAATTTTACAGTATGCTGAATTCATACAGCATTGTAACAGTGACCTACTTTCAGTATAGTGTAACAGACTCTTTACAGGCATCATTTTTGGGGTTTCTTAATGCATCTAAACTGACCTGCTCCATAAGATTATAAATCCCTTTTACATTAGCTGAGAATTAAAACAAAAATACACAGATATCAGTACAGCAATCTGTCTCTAATAATACGGACATTACTAATGTCATTAGTTTATTCAATTATCGTTCTTCAATGTAATATTAAAATTTGTTTTCGTTTAGAGTATATAATCAAATATACTACTATTCTGCATTACCAACATATGGCATGACGCTTATAGAACCAAAAGCTGACTCGCAAGTTGTTAGTCTTATCAGTTAAGTAGTTCAGTATTAATAATGACACTAATGTCACTATATAAAGTCTGTTATACGCAGTCAGCTGATCGCCACTGCATTGAAATAGATCAATATGAACATACTTAGATTTCGTTGTGTTTTAAGTTCGGTTGTCATATTGGAGAAAGAATGGGTTGTGTATCATAGTCGAACAGTTCACAATCTCCGTGTGATGCTCTACCGTAGACTATCGTCAGCTGTGTTGTAGTTTGGCACACGGCACCTTGATCAGTGACGTGAGCCCGGTGTATATTTTTAGATTAAATATCCATTACTTCAAGATAATACACACAATCTCATCGACAGTTCCATGTGGAATGTAATGATAGTGAAGATGGTATAGATTCCCTTTCGAATAGCGGTAGATTTAAACATTTTTTGAAAAACTCAGCATAAATTCAAAACACACAAAAAAACACCAGGAAATCCTTTAATAGTGTGTAATTTATTATCGGCATCGGTACATATTTCCGGAATAGGCAGAAAAAAACCACGATGCTGACATAAAATACCTGTTGAAATGTGTTCAAAGTGCAAATCATATTTATTGCAAGTAAATGAGCTAGATGAGAGATTTGCTAATAATTTATCATTTTTTTTTATTTCAATATCTATTTATTATTTTTCTGCTTATGCCTAGTAATGACCACCATCAACATGGGTCGCGTGTTCTGCTATGATTTTTATGATAAAAACTGGATAAAAACGTCTTAATATTGGAACTTTGTCACATGGGATTTGTAGGCCTCAAATGACGGGACAAATACTACTGGCCTGGCTACATGGGAAATAAACGAATGAATGGAGTGAAATCACAGGAAGCACTCAAAATCTCGCACGCTACAGACCCCTTGTGATTTTTCGAAAAAAAGAGTAGACATGATAACGTCGATCCAGGGGTCTAGGGATGGTGTGCGACTGTACAATTATTTTAATATATTTATTTCACATATACCTACGAATGTAACTTTATTTTTGCGATGGTTTGGTGTTGGGTAGTGATTGGTGTTCAGGTATCTAGAGACTACCAGTGGGGTCGCCATAGTCACATTGATGCCAAGGCGACAAAACATCTGGTAGAGAGAACCAAGATTATTGTGTTCGAAATCAGATCAGTCTGCCTACATGTACATCATATACACGTCTTATCGCGGAAATTCAACCAAGCAGACATTTCTTGATACTCTGAGTGAACTATAAAGACAATCAACATTAGATTCGGAACCACTAATGTAATCTAACGTTACAGGTGTGTCGACTTCAATGCGCGATATCCAAAAATGACAAAAGCTAACTGCGAACAGAATTCTTAAATAACAAAGAGCTGTCATAAGGATATTCCAATAGGCTTCCATATTAATCAGAGGGGTGATACTGAAATGGATTAAATGCTGTGCAGCAGTAAGACCTGGCAAAGTGTGGAAGTTGTAAAATTATACTGAATAATCTCCACTGATACCATCGTTAGGTAACCTCTCTATGTCTACGGAGATACAAATACATGTTGGAAAGACCAAACAATCAGAAACGCTGCAATCCAGCAAACCTATATGGACCAACTGTGAAAAAGACCATCTACAAGGAAGTTAGTCAAGTTGCTCTCCGCGGAACCAAAACCGAACCGCAGACGGAAATTTTTATCACTCAACGTATGCCAAATGTCCTAGAAAATCAGTAAGCATTCCTAACTAAATAAAAGTCAGAGTTGTTGAGCGCCATAAAGGAAAAGTATGGAGTAAGGCAATCCATAACGCTGCATGAAAGAAACAAAGAGCACATTGGTGGTGAATAATCCTGTAAATCGGTACTGTAAAGAGAAGAGCTGAACTAAAATGGAACTAAGGACATTAGGAGAAACAAGGGGACAGTAGAACCTTCTCCAGCCTGATAAACAACGGTAACAGAATAGTACAAATCGCTCTAACTGTAACAGTTACCTCGGCACATCTCAAGATTATTGAATATATACTTAACAACAGACATGTTAATATTTCCTAACTCTGCATGTCTCGTTACTATTCCACGGTAATGGAAGAATGACACAGGGAATTCTGACATGTGTTCATTCATTATACTCTGCAGAGGGGACAGCTCAGAATTACTAGTTGTTCGCCAATGGAGGCGCTTCTAAATTATCATTTACTTACAGATTGTGCAGAATTATACACACTTTTAAAAGAGGTAGTGCACCAATGGCTGTTACGGCTTGAAGCAATTAAAGGTTGTAGTTTGTGATTCTTATTGTAGAGGAGTATTTCAGCAATCTCCTACTCTCCTGACAAATGCTCATTATGGAATTTCCTCCAATAACAAATGTTCAAAATATTTATGTTACTCATAATTTGATGTTCCGACCTTATCATTCCTAAGTCTCGTGTGCTCGAAAGTGTGAATTTGAATATGTGTAACCGCTGTGGATATTTTTAATCCTATAACTATTGGTTGTACTTCGTTGAGCATATACGACTGCAATTTGTTAAGAATGGTCTTACAAGACTTCTGTAAAGACAGGAACTTATCTATATCCTTATTTACAAGTAAAGCTGGAGCCCAAATATTTATTGACCTTTCCACATATTCACTGTTTTGAGTTCAATATTAAAGACAAACTGCACCTAAATCTGTTTCATTTTCTCCATTGTCTGATTTCTTCCTTGTCATTCCCTCCTCTATTTTGTGATCAAGATGTCTTTGAAGTTTGACCTCCTTTTTAAAGAGATTCGAGTCATCAGCAAATAGTTTTACTGTACTAATAATACTACCACAGGTATGCTATTTATATAGATTAGAAACAGAAAACACACTTCCTGTGGAATCACGCTTGTGAAACTTACATAACCTTTCTCCGTATACTACATGTATGAGTCAACAAAGGAAATTTTAATCCAGTTAAGGACACTCCCTCCACTCCTCTCAGGTTTGCTTATAAACGAGAATCCTTTTCAAAAAGATTACCGGAAATCAGATACCGTGTTGAAGTTTTCGCCATTATCAGTCGTTGTTGCCCAATATCTTAGTACCTCTGTCTGATAGATTGGTTGTTCAGGTCTTACCAACACGGAATCCATGTTGATGTTCCGCAAATAAATTGTTATCAATATGTTAAACCAAGGTGTCTTGGACGATCCTCTTCATATTTTCCCTTGAAACAGATGTTAAACTAATGAGGCGATTTTCTCCACTTCCTATGCTTGTGACTTTTGTATATCGGCGTGACACGGACCCGTCTCCGGTTGTCCGACAATATCCATTCCTCCAGTGATAGATTAGATATAACTGCTAATGGAGCTGCTGTTTTTTTCAGGTTTTGTGAGTTTGTTTTTGTTTGTTTTTGTTTTGTTTTTTTATTTAGTTTTTGTCCTTTTTTGTATTTTTTCAAGCAGTAGTCTCGGGTAGAATATGGCAGGTACTGGAATTTTGTTAATGTCTAATTCTTTAGTAGCTTTTCTGATACATTGCCCATTTATCAAAATGCTGCATTATCTTCTTGGAAAATCTGGATTTGGCTGTCGTCATCCCAGTTAAAGATAGAACAAAGGACTGGTTTAGTTCCTCAGCTGTTTTCGAAATGGTATTGCTACATGTAACGAGTCATCTTTCTCCAATATTGTTGTTTTCTGTTTTTTAACGGACACACTTCAAGAAAGGTTTGTTGTTTTGTTGTCATTTTGATGTGCCGGCCAGGACCTATCATACAATCATACATGGCTTTTTACAACCTTAGCACACTTGTGTTTTTCCTAAAATCGGTATCGGTTTCACAGTGGAGATATTTTATCCATACGCTTTTTACTACGGATTGGTCCTATTTAAACATCGAATGATAAAACTTCAGACCTAAATAAGGATCGATGTGGTGGAGAAGACCTTTACATATCGCTGTTGAGGAGAAGACCTTTACATATCGCTGTTGAGGAGAAGACCTTTACATTTCGCTGTTGAGGAGAAGACCTTTACATATCGCTGTTGAGGAGAAGACCTTTACATATCGCTGTTGAGGAGAAGACCTTTACATTTCGCTGTTGAGGAGAAGACCTTTACATTTCGCTGTTGAGGAGAAAACCTTTACATATCGCTGTTGAGGAGAAGACCTTTACATATCGCTGTTGAGGAGAAGACCTTTACATTTCGCTGTTGATTCTGTAGATTCGATATTCTTGGCTTGTTCCGAGTATCAGGACAAACTCTCAGCACGGGGGTTGGAGGGATGCAGCTTGATAAATATTACGGGGAAGTTTTAGGGTCACTATAACGATCTCATAGAGAAATATTCTATTTCTTTGTGCATATAGACGTGTTTGATGCTCGTTGATGCTCCCTTACCTTGTTACTATTTGTGAACATAATACAACTTGTTTACATTGACCAAGAGTTTCATGATCGACGCTTTCCCTTTCGAAACACCAGGACCTCGTTGTTGATATTTCTTTTGTTAAAAATTGCCATTATCTTATTAATTTGAGCTCGAATTCATTTGTCCAATACGTAAGTAAAATCTATTTACATAATATCCCAAGCAGCAATGTATCCCTTTACAACAGCATGATTTTGCAATATTGTGTTAAGAAAAGACCAGATATCACAATTAGAAGTAAATGTCTTATAGTGTTTGTAGACATTAAAACGATCATTTTAGACACCTTGCTAACTTTTATTATATTTTTCAAAACCATCATTATGAATGTGTCGAAAGAAAGGCAATAGAGACTTTCCCTATTTCTATGGTATTTGAAAATTTGAAAGTCTCCAGATCGATTATGAACAAAAATCGAATATGTGAAGATGTCAACAACACTTTATTTTCTTAAAAGTAAACCAACATTGCATGTATAAACATATTAACAATTGCGTCCCCACACAACCCCATTGGTATTTATAAACATGTCAATGTACCACCTTACATGGTATGTATATGTATTACACATATGTCAGACAGTAACCCCTAAGAACATGTTAGACGGTAAATATAAACCTCTAAGGACATGTTAGACGGTAAATATAAACCTCTAAGGACATGTTAGACGGTAAATATAAACCTCTAAGGACATGTTAGACGGTAAATATAAACCTCTAAGGACATGTTAGACGGTAAATATAAACCTCTAAGGACATGTTAGACGGTAAATATAAACTTCTAAGGACATGTTAGACGGTAAATATAAACCTCTAAGGACATGTTAGACGGTAAATATAAACCTCTAAGGACATGTTAGATGGTAAATATAAACCTCTAAGGACATGTTAGACGGTAAATATAAACCTCTAAGGACATGTTAGACGGTAAATATAAACCTCTAAGGACATGTTAGACGGTAAATATAAACCTCTAAGATCCGAATCAATGAAGCTGGTAACTCTCATTATTCATGATATATATTCTCTATTAATCAATTGTAAAATGAATCAATGTATTTCAACCATTTTTATTTCCATAAATGCAAAAAACACCATATCTGACAAGTAACGTTCTGAAATTGATTTGGACATCATATACAACACCAGTATATTAGCTTAGACGTATCTAAGTATCACAGAAAGAGATCAACATTTACGCTTTAATACACGATAAAACTTGTTGTGTTTAGTGTTCAACGTCTTCCGCGAAACAAGTGTCGATAACTCACTTGCATTTTCTCCCCAACAGGTGATTCCGATGAAAATATAGATATTTCTTTCGTGATTTTTAAAATCAAGAATGCAAAATGAGATAATGATACTCACACTTATGACAACGAAATTAATATTAAAATTCAACAATATGTCTTAAGGTTATTCCTTTCAGCACATGGAATATATTATTTGACATTTCACTAACGAATCTCATATGTTTTCTGTAATTGCGTGAAAACAAAAATGGGGAATGAAATAAAAACATATATTTCTTAGTCCAAACATCAAGAAGGGCATCATTCTATGCACTACTTCAATCTAGCTATATTTCATGAGTAAATATACAATTAATATTTTATTTTCAAATGCAGCTGCATAATTTCTGGACAAAACGTGAAAAGAAGTGATATGACTTGATAAATGGTTCATAATAAATAAGATATTAAGTATCTCTAGTAAACAAAATAATCCAAACCAGAGTTACTTAAAATATGATACTGTATATCACTATCTAAATATCGTCATTGGCACTCAGTCAAAAACATGAAAAAATGAAAACGCACGATATTAACATCAATATTTGTTGTTTTGTATTTCTGGACGAAATGTCCATTTTGTATGACAAATGATGGAACTAGATACGCTAACTGCATCATAAAACTATTCATCAAAGCTCACATGAAAACAATAAAAATTAATTAAAAACATCACCAAATTATTACAATGTGCAAAATCGCACAACCTTTAAATAATATGACAGAAACCCTGATTTTCTCTTCATTAAGCTGTCCTGGTGTCCGTATGTCCATTACAACGCTTTATGTTGGAAACACTAGCCTGAATGACACCTATTTATGTGAAAATAAATAATGGTTTTGCGTAAATCCCAACTAAAGTAGCGTGTTTTTGATACTGTCTCTAAACCCTCGGGTTTCTTTGTGCTGTTCTATGTAGGCGGAATTAAACGTAATCAGAATTAAAATTTAAATTGATTTGCTATAATAGTCAAGTGAAAAATGTTAATTAAACATGTTAACTTTATCTCTACAAGTATATTAATTATGTTTATCGATCTTAATTAGCTAGCCAGTAAAATACTTTATCCTGGAATATGTTTAACGATTCCAACACACAACAACGACATGTTTATTTACTGATCTGAGATCGAACCGAAAGCAATCCATATGAATCCAATTAAAGGTCACCATTCTAAGTACACCAAACTTCTGTTAATGTCCCAACTTCGGCACAGATATAAAAAAAGGCTATGCAATCGGACTCACCGACCGCTTAGTGATACTTTCCATTACATTAACCAGCAATATATTTGATAAACAATAAACAAATCAACAAAGAACTAGGTAACACAATACATAACACAATTTTAAATATTTTGAATTTAGTGGCGTTGTCATTGACACTATTTGTTGTTATGTATCGATGTAAACATGGAATATTTGATATGACTAACGGTATTTGTTTTTACATTTCACACAATTTATTGATATATGGTACTACCCGTAACGTCAACTGTATACATTTCATTGTCATCACAGTTATATATACAGACACACGCCATGTTTGACAAGTTGTTAATAACATCCTACTGGACCCTTACTGATAATGAATATTATCTCGACAGTATAAGGTAAACAAACCTGAAAAGTGTGAGGATTCTTTATTGAAGTCAAAGGTCATATGCAGCTTTACTAATTTCATGTCAAAACAGGAAATAATTCATTTGTCGTTATGAAGTCATCATGCTGGTGGTTATCATTTGTCAAATGGTGTTTTATTTATTTACATACTTATCTGAGCGTATGACAATATCAAGTATTTTAAGTATCTAGGATTTAAACTTTTTCGAATCATCGTGTCGGTTCATCTAGTGTAACATTTACGTTCACCATTAAACTGCCTTAAAATGTAAAACCTCGTGTCATTACTTAATACAAGTAGATTTGATATAATTTTTCAGTTTTTCGTTCTTGAAATATACAATATCCCCCTTGTGGGGTATGGTTCATCGCTACGTCTTCCCTAGTGAAGTATTCTTTAGCGCTTTATATTTCTCAGTGAAGTATAGTGTAACCCGATGCTTTCCTTACTGAAGAATAGTGAAGCATGAATCTCTACATCTTTCCTCCTTCAGCCTTGTTTAGCCGTACTTGTTCTGTGGTGAAGTATTCTGTAGCTCTGTCGTGCCTTGTGAACAGAAGTTTATCCCATCATCTCCCTTGTAAAGTATAGCTTTATCTTACACTTTCCTTGTTAAAGAATATCTAAGTTTTACAACTTCCTATTAGATATATAGATGTGCTGATGTTAAACTTGAGTTATTACATAACTTATAGGTATCCTTATGAAGACAATGGTATTAATTCAGTATGATTATAATTTGTTGTTACAGCCGATGTATATCTAATTTCATGAAAGTGCCTGTTGTTATCAGACAATGTATATATAAATATCGATGATGATATCTATACAAGTTACTTATCGATGTATGTTTATACCCGGGTGATAGAATGTTGTTCCAAATATCTCCCAAGTTATCAAGTGGTAAACAACCACTTCATTTAACGTATCATCATTTATAAAGATAACGTTGCAATGAATATTTCCGTCTAATTGTCTCAGTTGGTGTCAGTTATCAGTGAGACAATTCATCCTTAATAAGAACCAGTGATGTCTGTGTTTCTACCACAAATAAGAATGGTCATTCCGGTATGAAACAGACCGGCAACACTTAGCTGCACACAGTTCTAGTCTTTCATCACACAGTAGTAAGCATGGTTCTGTCCCGTGCATGTCATACAGTAGCAGCTTGTATGTCAGTTCATACCATGACAACTGTAGTACGTGTGTCAGATCCTACTTGACAGGTAAAGCACGTGTATTCTGTAATGCCAGTGGCGGGCTAAGTACGTGCATCCTGAATGGTTGGTCATTACGACAGGCCAGCACCGCATCACATAGAGCACCGAAGGGCAGACTCGACCTTGAAATGACCTTTATAAAGGTCATAGAGGTGTCACCGAGTCTGGTGAGTCAACCTTTGGTAACACAAAGAAAGTCGTCATTGGTTCTTTTCCTTTGACTTTTGTGAGACCTTTTTTCTGAATGTTGAATCCGTTATCAAAAAGGAACTGAGCTGTCGTCTCGGGTACCTAAACACGACATTGTAAAGAAGACATAATGACATTGAAAAAATAACCATACATACAGATAACGTTTACGAATAATGAAATGTAAGAAAATATAAGAAATTAATACACGGCGATGTAGAAATTGTTCATTACTGTATTATTACGGTATTCGGACAATGTTCTACATCTAATAGTTCTGCGTTTTTTCTTCTAAAATCCAAATGACAATAAAAGTTTTCTCATTGCTTGCTATTTTTACCAACACCATTTAAAACGAGTGATAAAGGAGAAAAGAATGTGATTCTCTATATCAATTGAATTTTAAATCTATTTCTACTGATTTATTCCATAGAAACTGGCGAAAAAGGAAAGAAATTATTTTTGCTGTGTTGTCTGCCTTTCACAATTCATTTTATTTATGACATAACATTTTCCTTCACTTCAGTAACAGTTGCACTTGATATAACAATTATATAACCTTTTGACCCTTAGTTATGAAATAGACTGATAGTATTAGTAGTGTTTGGTACGTACTTGTATTTTTCCCATCTCTCCTGAGCTGTCCATACGACTGGCGACATTAACTGTGTCACCCCAAATGTCATACTGAGGTTTCCTGGCACCTATTACACCCGCTATCACTGCTCCGTGGTTCACGCCTGCGCGTCAAACAAAAATCAATTAGGAGAAAAATCATGGAGTATTTGTAATTTATCCAAACATGATCTTGTAGTAAACGAAAAATGTTGTTTCGAAAACGTAAAGGTATAAGTGTACAATGAATAAGCTTTACATAATACAATATATTAATGAACAAATTACATATCAATGAATTATTAAAAAAGAGTTCAATTTTAAAGTTTGAGACTGACGAATTTAAACCTAATAATAGCAAGGGACCTTGACCTTTGATCATCAAAACAAAACATTATTGATGTCCAGTATAAATATTTATTTCATTAACGGCATGTGATAATGTGGAAAATGTTTCTGATCTAATTTAACTAAAGCTTTAAGTTGATCATCAACAAATCGTACTTTAAGTTTGAGAAATCATATCATAATCATATTGCATTACCTATCCTGAGTTTAAATTGGTTTAGTGTGTGAGTGTTGATTTCGTCCAGTTTCTTCATCATGCTTAAAGCAAATGTTGTCATGGTAACTATGTTGTTTCGCCTCTCCGTAGGATCCATGATGTTCTCCCGCCCTGGTTGTAGACCCGTGGCTGCCATATATGTACTCCCTATCGTTTTTATCTTCTCAACAGTGGAAAATTCTGACATGGACAGCAACTGCAGAAACAACATATAGTATAGTATCATATGATAATAGAAGTCACAAAATACAGACTCTACACATACAAACTGACGCAATATGATACAGACCGAGGTAAGATATAAGGCATTACAAGAGTATCCCATATACAAACTTAACGATGTTAAATCAATTACAAATCGACAAAAAATAAGTTGTGGGATTCCATTTACCTGGTCGAATTCCGCAATTATCTCGTTGAGAACGCGGATACACTCAAGACCATTGCGATTGGCAGCACTTTGTTGGTAAAAATCCTGGAAATTTGGTATGGATGCAAACATGACAGAAACACACCCATACGTCTCACTGTACATGTCCTGTGAATTAAAAATATATAAATGCAATAGTTCATTTTCATTAACTTAACAACAACACAAGGGTACCATCTAATGAGCCGGATTTTCTCCAAAACCTTATCATCTTTCTTCAACAATGTAACACCAGTATTGTTGAAAGACAGAGAGAAATAAAAGGTTAACCTCGACATGCAGTACATTGATATTCAATCTGGTTTCCATACAAGGTAATCAAAATTTCAAATACCGGTTAATTCTTGAGGAGATTTATATACCAATATATATTGAGTCCTTGCTGATAAACTGATGGATGAGTGTTATAATCGTAATAACATTGTTTATATAATTTACACATCATTTGTCTACCAGTACACAACTCCTACTTACATCGTCCTTCCGATTGCCCCTGATGAAGTAATCGGCTACATGCTGAGGCAGTATGTTCTGTAGTAATTGCTTGTTCACCTCTGCTGTAACCTTCACATTTTCAGTGTCCTCATTAAACTGTCGTCTCCAGAGGAAATCTAATCTGTTAGTATATTCTACCTGAAAAAAGAAAGAAAGAAAATTAAGAAGTAATCTAGAATTATACACACTGTCTGGGTTTACAATGAGTAATACACAATGTCATATTAAGTATGTAACAGGTTATACGATTGTGGAAAAGACACGAAAGTGACTATCATCTTTCAATACATTTATATAGGCGTGGTCTGTTATTTTGTCCATATTGACTGCAAGATCTTGCCAATTGAAATGTGTTTTCCATACAAAAGAATAAGATAAAGTGTAGACAAACACCGAATTAAACATATCAAATATCTGTCTTAAGACTCTCCCGTGATGCCAGGGACCAAAAGTGTTAGGAGACAATGGAGACAGCTGGTCGAAATAAAAGTCAAAATATAGACACTTCTATCCTAAGAAGGCGATAAACACACCCGAGTCATATATCTACTTAGGATTATGTAGTCAACTACACGACTGTCATCGTCTTCCCTATATTTCCTTTTGATTATACTATAATTTGAGATACCATTTTTCTTTGTTACCTTTAGTATGAACGTTTGCTGTAGCTTGATAACAATATATATGTTTAAATAAGTATTCCCAAGAAATGATTACTATATCATTCCAATCATTGTCTGTATCAAATCTATGAATGAATATGTTGACCAGTTCCAGAAAATAAAATAAAATGTCATTGTTTTTATACGTCGTAAGTGTACCTCAGAAACGGCTATAACATTGATCTGAGTTATCATATCTACATTACATTGGTCGTTTCCTTGTAAAGGAAATTCTATTAATCAACATACTATAAGACTGTTATTAACCTCACATCTGTGCATAGACTAACTGACTTACTTAAGCGTGGATTGATGTCAAGATACACTTACCTGCCTATCTAGAAAGAACAAGGTCAAATAAAGGATAGCCAGCAGGAGAGAGGCTGTGATGGTCATATCTAGGGGAGGCACACTGCTGGATCTGTAACAAACAGGTACAGGTACACAAATATTACAAATATAGAAAATTATATACTAAAACTAACATTAACTGTTGGATGGAAATATTAGATATACGTAGATATGAATTACCAATATGACATATATGAATGAGTTATCAATTAACAGGAAAACTGCAAACATCACCATAGAGATTTAATACTTTACGTTACTATATATAATTGAAGATTATTTTCTAATTTCATTAAATAGTATCTTTTTTGTATCAGCTAACATCAAACGTGAGATTCTCCTCCCTCGATTTTTTTGCAAGTGTATTAATGTCTGTGTCTTCTCGCAAAAGCCAATTCTTTTCTTGTGCCCACATGTGATGGACCTACTAAAGTGCATTTTATTATTGAAGATCTAAGAAATCTGGACGCAGAAGCAGAACCATTTATCTGATCACAGTAAAAGAAGTTTACAAGACTTGTCGAGGGAGACAATACTGCCATGAAGTGAGTAGCGAAGTGCAGAAGCTACATTTTGTTTCTCTAACGTCCTCTAACTCTTAATCTAGAGATCTCTAAATCAATCAACTCATATCATCATGTAGCCTGATATAGCAGGTCGATACTTTTAAATTTGCGGAGCGGATAACAACGAACAAACATCACAAATAACATTTTGCCAATTAAATGTCTTGACTATGACAGATAACATCATATAACTTACTGCATATGGAGATCTGCTCTAAACACTGGCAGTAGATGAAACACCAAATTGTATGTCACCATGATAACAAGCATGATAGCCATTTTTATGAGGTAGCCAATCTGCAGGAAGACGCAAGTTGACGCAAGACCAAGGAGGCTGATGTGTGTCCAATACTGTAACATTAGATTAACAACTGACACTAGATATTAATGTAACACTTATTCAGCGACAGTTTAATATATTTATAGACGAGTGTTTGCAATGATAAGCTACATGATTAAAATATTGAAGACAGCATGTCTCTTTAATTTTGATTGCCGTTGTAAACTGGACAAAACAATCAGTTTCGCCTCTTTTGAAGAAAAACTATAATTCTAAATCAAAATCTACATACCGCGGTTAATATTTTCAAGGACATTAATTGAAAAATATAATGAGAAAATATGACCATCGTGTTTAGAAAGTTTATTTCAGCAAGGCATGCAATATCAACACTCACCACAGGTGCCCCATAAAACGTCACTTCCTCTGTGGTATTGGCTAGACTGTTATTGTCTAAGGGTACACAGTTATCACAGCTCTTATAGTCCACCTGAAATACATCAACAAAGTCTAAAATGAATGTTGGAAGTGCATGGTAGCGAGAAAACTCTTCTAAAGATGAACTCAAATATCCATTTCAGTAGTTTTTACAAAATGACACACGTTTTTTAATATCAAGAAATATCACGGAATTAAAAAGATTGATTATGATAGTTAAATGTGAAGGAAATTGACAGAAAAGTAATGAATTAGAAATAACATAACTTGTATGATTGACACTAACCACGCCGATGATGGTAGAAAGACAGACTACAGCCACACACAGAGCGGCCAGCATGACCCGTACTAGTGCACTTCCCTTTGTCTGGCCTGATAAGTGGGCAAGAATTCCAATAATCACGCCTTTATCTTCCGAGATCTGGAATAGAAATATCATCCAATCTGTAATGTTTCGTTGTGAATTTATCCACAATTAGATAATATATAGTACAGAACGCCATATACAGTCGGATATGTAATTACTTGTAAAGATACTTCGCTATAATCTGAAACAACATAGTGTCAGATTATCATTAACCAATTGATACATTTGATACCACTGAAACAGCAATACTTTTTAATCACGCTTTGACAGGAGGAAGTTAAAAGAATCATAAGTGAAATTGTTCATAACTAATATCTTCTCTACCACATTCAATTCATACCATCGCAATCTAATGTCATTTCATCAAATAATTGGAAAATCGACATTGCTATGGTTATGGTTACTCCATGTGAATATGGTTACTAACCATCTACTCCACGTGAATATGGTTACTAACCAGCTACCCGGTGACTACGGTTAATAACCAGCTACTTCCTGTGACTATGGCTACTGACCAGCCACTTCCTTGACTGTGGTTTTTAACCAGTTACTCCCTTGATTATGGGTACTAACCAGCTACTCCCTTGACTATGGTTTTTAACCAGCTACTCCCTTGACTATGGTTACTAACCAGCTACTCCCTTGATTATGGTTACTAACCAGCTACTCCCTTAATTATGGTTACTAACCAGCTACTCCCTTGATTATGGTTACTAACCAGCTACTTCCTTGACTAAGGTTACTAACCAGCCACTCCCTTGACTATGGTTACTAACCAGCTACTCCCTGTGACTAAGGTTACTAACCTTCTACTACCTGTGACTATGGTTACTAATCAGTTACTTCCTTTGACTTTTGTTACCAACCAGCTACTTATTCCCTATGACTATGGTGACACCAGCTACTCCCTCTGACTATTGTTACTAACCTTTCCCTATGACTGGTTACTGTTCAGCGCATAGTACTTAAATTACTTACCAGGTAGTCTCCAATAAAGCAGATGAATATCACAGATAAAAAGAATGCTAAGCCAACACTAGCACAGCCATACCAGGAAGTACGCAGGATCCTGCAATACAAACCCATTATAATGGTATGAGGAAACATTTAGATATGAGTTTCAGTTTTCATAGACAATTTGTTCCCAAAGCTAATCATCATGCTATGTAGATTTAGATGTAGCTACAATGCCAATCAGGTAGTATTGATAGACATTCTGACATTAACTTACCACATTGACATAGACATTTTGTATGATATTTGACTTACGGTAGTGATAGTCTGACATTTGACTTACCCTTATGACCGACAACCACATGATATTTAACTTACACCTGTGATAAACAACCAGTTTATTTGATCTACCTTATCGATTGACTTATGTTTTACATATTAAAGTTGTGATGGTTAAACTACATAACATTTTCAACCCAAATGGCACCACTGTGAATAGTAAAAATACTACATAGCATTTCACCTACCCCAATGACAAGATGGCCTGTATAACCTGTACAGCTACAAAGATACCGGCGATACACAACACCCCGATCCTGAAGGAGGGATTCGGTCTTCTGGAGTACTCGTTTTCCATCCCGTTCTTAAAGGTCAGCAGTAGCCAGTTAAAGTCTCCCCCAGATGTCCATGAACTATAAAATAATGCATTGACATTATAACTGAAATTCAATTTCGATATACATAGATGTAAACATACAAGTTTGAAGTCTGAAGTATAAACTAGATGTCAAGGGTGTTATTATAAGTAAAAGAAAAGAAAAAAAACCCGATTATGATTAAAAACATACAGAAGCTTTACACTTTGTAAAAATATAAGTTGGATAACATCATTTGTTCCGTCTTTTGTTTCATCTGTACAAGAAATCTGAAGTTGTTCAGATGACTCAGGTGAGTTGCTGTAGCTGATCATTCATATATATTATAATTTGTTGTTTATCAATGTCATTCCTTCTACAAACGTTAACCATTCTACGTATTTTTACTGGATTTTTAGTACGCCAGAGCTGTTTACATATTGTAATTTAAGAAAAATTTCTTGTGAAAATCTGTTATTTCTAAAGTTGTCGCATTCTTCTTACTATTTTACTGTTGTCAGATTATGTCCTCTTAGAACGATCATGTCCATTTAAACAAAATACCTTTAACTTACTTAGCTTTCGTGACGATATCAACTAATCTGACCAGGTATGACACTGTCTTCAGTCTCAGACAAACGGCAGGCTTATTGCACTACCTGTATTTGGTACTAAGTCCAGTCATGTTGATTATGGTAATAGAATAGAAGTTCTTATAGCTCACCAAGTAGAGGATCTGGGTGTGATTTTTGATGATTTAAACGGTCACCTTCATCAGACAAATGACCAGTGTGGAGCGTACTAGCACAGATGTATATAGTGTACGAGATGGTAAGGAATCGACCAACTTTGTACTATAATCTTTTGTACACGAAAACCACACATGCATTTGTAAATGTATACTGTGAATTTTTTTAATCAGTTAAGTACTAAAACTAGGTTGTGTTTGTGGTTTAAACATGATACAACTCTCCCACCTAAAAAATTGTTGATGAATTCATATTTCGATATTATACCATTCTTAGAGTTAATAACAACACATACACAGAAATAAACAACAAAAATCTAATAAAAAATTGTGATTAATTAACAAGCATCAAAAAGGTCAAAATTTGCTATCACAAGAAAAAGACAAAAACGTAATATTTCCAAGGCGTACAGTGAAAAGTCTTAATTAACGACCGACAGTCGCAACTGCTCGCTATGATTATTGTTGGCGGTCAAATATCTAGTAACACGTGATATAGTGAAAACGTCTTCAATTATAAAATCAATTTGATCTAAATCATCAAAATATTGAATCATAGACTCGATCATCAAGAAAAATGAAAACTCACAAAGGGAACTAAAATATTTCTCATGATGTCAAGCTCATCAGTTTGTAGTTTCATTGTTATACAACTGCTTCTCATTTTATAAACGAGTATTTTCTCCGAATGACTTACATTTACATAGTGTTTACGAGTGTCGTTGATGAAATAAAAGATATTGATCCTTGTGGAACTCCTAGTCTTTTTCAAGGCTCATTTTCGCCGCAGTTTTTATCGATTCTCTGTTTGAATTGTGATTTTTTTCAATTATCTTGGTGTTTTTTGGACATTTAAAGATTATTGATGTGAATGAGTTTTAACAACTTTATCATTGATCTTGCAAGGAACTAAAACAACAAAACAAAATCGATTTCAAATTTCAAATGAGATCAACAAAAGAAAAGGAACAAGGAAAGCGTGAAAACGGAGAATAAAATATTCTAGAAAGGTAAGCGACTCTCCTTCAACGGAGTAGGTCGCCATCCATTCGATCCTCGAAATTCTGCCTGTGGTGACCTGACAGATCACGCGAACTACGATGCTATCTATCTTTAATAGTCCGTCTGTCTGTAGATTTTCTGTAGAGCCGAGTGTTTAGAACATTGTGTTAAATCCTGACAATCGTACCTTTTCTTCCCTAGATCCTTGGACTTTCTTGCTAACTCTGCATTGACCTCTCCTTGAAATTGCTGGCTCATTGCGACCACACTGAGAATAAATTGATGTATATGAATGGTATATTCCAGCTTGAATAAACACATCTTATCTGTTGTCAGATGTGCCAAAAATAGATATCTTAGATACTCTTGATCTTTAGATAGAGAATGCTCATACATCTTAACAAGTTCAAGGGGAATGTTTTTTTATTAGTTTTGTTGTCAAACAACCTTTTTACCTACCTTTGGTCGTCGACAATGGAATTCAGCACCAAATTAGAGTCGAGAAATGCCAGGCTCTACAACACATTGATCAGTATGACAATATTCCATACACACAACCAATTAATAGAGCATCAAACATGTATTTTACTCAGGTGGGAACAACGTCATTATACACTTTGAATATATTCTAGCCCAATGACAACAATTTTTTTGATATTCAATTTATTTTCGACAGGAGAAATATTTTAATGCATTTCAATGAATCGATTATGAATCTGACCTGTCAAATGGTATTGTCCTTGGGCAATATTTCAGAAACACAATCTTTATTAAAATTTCAATCAATACTGAATGACAAGACTTAAATATGGTGATGTCAGTTAAACAGTGATATTTAAGATAAATGGATTAAGATGGTTGTTATGAAAACACGGGATGTTAATTACTACATCGCAGAGTTAATCATATCATTCGTGATAAATTACAGTGATGTTTAACAGAATGATGCTCATTGTGCGTTACTTCTTCTGCTGCTTTAGTTATATAACTGTAGCCTGGCTGAAGAAATTGCGGTATTACTATATTGCGCGGCATTACAACAACTATGGCATTATAACAATAACTATGATATGTTGTAATATATTACTTTATATTAAGTGCAGCGTTACTATGCTATTGCTGTGATTGAGCTATAAACCACCACAAGCATCTGATCAGCCCTTTTAAAGCTCTATACTCTAGGTCAAGTCATCCAGTCATTTTGTGCAATATTTCTCGGTTTCGTGAAAGGTGCGTGCGAACGGCGTCAAGCAATCATGCGCTTACATAGAGGTACTTAACGCTTAGGCAAATGTATCTTGCGTATCTTGTGTTCAAGTTTATGGTTGTGAACCAACATGAAGTGTGCTTAGTAAAAAACGCAACTAGAACCAGATGAAATATACCGAGGATGGGATGAAATCATAAAAACGACAGACTACTGCCATACTCATGGGAACAAACATATTTTCCTATGAGACCGATATGATCCGAACAGCTTATCGAAATAGGCAATACAAAAAAATCTAAATAAATCAAGTGTTGTTTCAATAAGCAAGAAAATGATTTATCATACCGACAGAAACCTGAAAGCAAAGAAACCACATTCTCAGTAAGATAATTTACCTCTCAGTTTTTCGGTCGTTACTTACAGTCTAGTTTAAACTACTTAGGTAACTTGCTATTAATAAGGTTCTGACATATGGATGATGATGAAGGAATAAGGAATTAAAATAGCTGTCACAACGATCTCAATAGGAAATAATCCATTTCCTTTTCCGTTTGCTGCTCGTTAGTTCGACTGTTGGTTCAATGATTCTGTACAGCGTTCTCATTTTTGAACGTGTCGATGAAGCAGAAGACGCTTATCCTTTCAAACACAAGGTCTTATATCTTGAGATTTTTCAGTGGTATCCGCACAAAATCCAAAAACAAATTAGGAAACTTAATATACACCGATTCGAGAAGTGTTGGTTTGTACGATGTAAATTATTTTGAGAGATGTGAAATTTCACAGGTCTTTATTGCGCGTTTGATTTATTTTTTAACCATTTGCCTGTTTGTTCATTTATTAAATACATCGCTTTTCGATTTAAGAGAGTGATATTGTTTGAAGTCGACCTAAATAGAGTGCAATGTTATGCAGTGATGAAGATGGAAAGTGCGACAATTCGTTAGTAAATGGGTTAAAAGAGCTACTGGCCTTGATATTCAGCTGAACGTTCTGTGACTTTTCACAACTGATATGCTCGCTACGTGATTTTATCGACTTCTACCCTCATTATGAGGTATCAAAACCAATGTTGCTGGAACTGTTTTCAGTTAAACAGGACAAACAGACACTGTGATACATAGAGGAGCACTTCGCAGTAACGCCGTACACTTTACACTTGGAGAACATATGCGCCGTTGTTGATTTGCAGAGAGAATGTGCTGATCATAGAAACATCACAGAACATTTTGTCACTAGCAATCTTCTTATCGACCCATATAACTCATAACAGCAGCCTTTTAGCGTCTCTAACATTTAAACTCCAAAACAACTTCATTTTCGAATTAGATATCAATTCATGTTCTTTCTAACGTCATACTTATAGAAGATACTTTCCAAACAACCCTTAATGTTACGGTGGCATAGGTAGACGGCATTGTTATTCATTATGTTCGCCATTGAGTATAAAATGTGTTGTTTCTCGGCAGTTCTTTCTCAAGGTTTCATTCCAAGTTCACATGTGATGTTTGTATATAAATTAATTACATCCAATGACAGTTGAATGATTTTCGACAGATCGCTCCAAAAGTCCAAATCTTCTCACGGTCAACATTGGCTTTAACATTACATCCAATAGCTTAATTTTTAATGGTGGAGAATTAAGGCCTCCTATGACAACTCTGAATGTGATATAATCTTGATTATAGCACCAAATACATTCTCTATTTTGAGGTTGTACGGTTTCTTGATTTGTGTCCTTTGGAAGGCCATAAAACTCTCTCTTTATAATACCAATTTGTGAGACAATCCTTTACACTAACAAACAAACTGAGCGCCACTATTGTGACAGCATCAAAGGCTTTTTACAGCACCTATATGTGCTATAATTGCTTAAATTAAAATGTTCAAAGCCAAAAAAGCTAATGGAAAACTGAGGACTCACATCACATTATAATGTAAGCTCTCAAGTGTATTGTGCAACGTTGGCAAAATAAATGCAGCAAAGCCATTAATTAAATATTAAAGTACAAAGCATTCTCCGTCACCAAACTATATTGTTAAATTACTAAACAGATGCACTGCTACAAAATTGTGAGTTGTCTCCCCTTTACGTGTGATAGGGGGTGCTGTGATGTTAGTATTGTTAATCGATAACAAGAACCTATTACCTGTACTTACAGGAATGAGCTGTGTAAAACAAACATACACTATTAATTACTACAACTCACCATCCTGATGGTGAATCTGACAGACACCGTAATTGTTTCAGATTTTCATGTCTATAGTTCACTGTATACATTCATTCATTTCGTTAATTTCATTCTATAAAATCATTGCCTTAATTTGTCACTTGCAATAAAATTATTCAATTTAAACACCAAAAGGTGTTTCATTGTGTCTCAAATATTCCAGATAGTTCATAACAACATTCGTTCTTTTCTATAGTGTAATCCAAGTTATGACATTGTGCTAGCCGGTACAAGATACGTCAATGAGTAAAATCATTTTTTAACTGCTGTACCGCCCTTGTGGTTCAGGCCTTGACTTACTGTAACACTGAGGAGTTTGGTTGCCATGGTGCTGACACGTAAGTTGGCGAATGGTTTGTCCACGTTCCAGCCCTCCAGATATTTTGTCACCCGTAGAGAGGCACGTAAGGAACTCTCATACCTTGAACGTATTTTTCTTCCCTCGTCAAACTGAAAACAAGAAGCAAGAATGTAAGTTTGAAGTTCAACCTTTAATTATCACAAACTTAAATATTCTGATCGTTTTTTATGATTATAGAAAGTTATCATGTATGTTACAGCACAGTTATGTCAGCCCTGTTATATTATATCGATAAACAGTATTTACAAACCTCTCTAGTTTTCGGAACAATGAAGAAAGTTTCCACGTTATGGTAGGAAAGGTAAGAATTTCTACGGGCTCCATTTCCTGGTTCAACCTTAAATTCTCCAGCAAGAAACTGAAGAGTGTTCTTTGTGATATGGACCTTTCTGTAAAAAAACATGGGATGTATAAAACGAGTGTTGCAAACTATTTAGAAAGTTGGTTAAACAATATATAATTTTATGATATTTAAGATATTTTGTGGCAATTAACAACCTGTCATCTCAACTCCTCCTCGAGTTTATAGTCCAACAAATAAAGAAGGGAGAACGCTAATCACGCTTTAGCAAAGATATATTTAGGATCTACTGTTAATATATCTGGAAAAGCAGAAAAACATCAGTATCTGAAAGAGTGTAAGAGGATCAAGAACATTGAACTATCTTGTTGAAAGTCTTTGAGAGCTTAAAAGGAACAAATAACTCTATATAATTACCCAGGCAAGCCTCCAGACTCCATGTGATTGGCCAGGGTGACGTCATCAGACCAAACGTCATATTGCCATTTTGACAAACCAAGCACCCCACTCAGCACCATGCCACTGTGAATGCCAATCCTCATATCCACGTTGACCCCCGTGGCCTCTCGCACTTCCCGTATGGCCTCGATCATCTTTAGACCCATGTTAACACAGTTAATAGCATGGTTTGGGTCTGGTATAGGTAGGCCACATACACAGTAGTAACAATCTCCCAGGATCTTTATCCGCATACACTGGTTCTTCTGCAATCGCAAGGTCAGTTCAACTTAAGTTCATGGCCAAAGCAGGAGATAAAATCTTCAACATTATACAAATTACCACAAAGTGTAATATCACATGGTCACCAAGATTAGGTCAAGGTCACACGAAGTTAGAAAAATAAAACAATTCGAAGTCGTCTCAGTGTCGGTTTATATCACAACAAGGTCACCAAGATTAGGTCAAGGTCACCTCAGAGTAAGTCAATATCATAAAAAGGTCAATAATATCGGGTCAAGGCCACATCAGTGCCACTCAATATCACAACACAACCACCAGTATCATGTAAATGTAAAAACAAACGCTGGTGCAGGTTATCAAAGATTATTGTCATTATTACATACGCTGTCGACCAGGCGACCATATTAACCAGGTACGTCTTGATAAAGCCGTACCTAAAATGATACAGACCTACTTGTTTAGATCTTCTCAAGTTTAACCGGAGTCGGACGGTCATCCACTAAGCAATTTATATGTATCTAAGCAGAAATGACTGACGCCATGCTTCCTAGCTGGCACTGCCAGCTCAAATCTAAACTAATAAAACTATCTAGATTATGGGCATAATGAAGTTTCGATGTCACCTCATATTACAAAGTTTATACAAAGGACATTGAAGTCAGTAATATGCTAGTGATTTATAACATGGAATTAATCATTTCTTGTATTACACAAATCTGAAGGGAAATTGAGCACACGTTTTATACCATCATAGAGCTCTTGCTAATGACTTTTAAAACTATCATCAGCATCAACATGTCTTTCAAAAAGTCACTTCGGACAGGCGACATCGGTGGAATTACACATTGCCAATCTAAAAATCAGATTGTCTAAATATAGCACATTGGGACATCGGGAACACAGTCATAAACTTGACAATAGATTTTATGTTAATTATTGGGTAAATATACAAGACTATCTGTTCACTTATAATTTATATAGGTATATTCTTTTTGGATATATTTCTTTAAAAAATTATATGAAATTCAAACCTGTTTTGAATATCCCTTTAAAGCTGTCATGTACTGTATTTCAAACATTTGTATGAACAACAATACATAAAATATGTTAAGGGAAGCCCCAAAAACAGATACAGGTCTTTGACATCACAGCTGGAAAACAATCTCTATCACGATTGTTTAGCTATGTAATTAAAGCACCGCAATGGATGTGGTCAAGGACTGCGTGGTAGCTAACGTCTTATGTCTAGAAGTAGTTAATAATCTAACACATAAATTTATGTCCAACAAGACAGGAATATGTTGCATCTCATTACTACGGAATAGTATTACCTTGTCACGGGAAGGTCAGCATTCTATAGGGAGACCTTGGATAGGAATAGCATTGAGGCTATACATACTTTAAATATAAACATCGTCTCCTCGACAGAAAAGACATCGCCTAAATGTGACAGATAGAAAGGGTCGCAAACCACTAGTATTCAATTAACAGGATTGCGAGAACTACACACATATCTATGGCAGCGAAATGAAAGTATGCGGGTACGACATCACCACAATCCCGGTTTGATTTTGGCTGTTTACACTCTGCGAGATGACTGGTGATACAAGCACAATCCCGGTTTGATTTTGGCTGTTTACACTCTGCGAGATGACTGGTGATACAAGCACAATCCCGGTTTGATTTTGGCTGTTTACAATCTGCGAGATGACTGGTGATACAAGCACAATCCTGTTTTATTTTTGTTGTTTACACTCCGCGAGGTGAATGATGACACTGGCACAATCCTGTTTTATGTTTGCTGTTTACACTGCTTGAGGTGCTATGTTTTTGCTGTTTACACTCCGCAGGGTGAATGATGACACCAGCATACACCTCTTATTTTGTTATATGTATACTTAATATCCTCATTCATGTTTAATGCCATGTTTGAAACAGCAATGTCAGCGTCCATCAGGTGTTTTTCTCTGGTTTGTTTAAATACTTATAACCTCCCTGTATCCCAAGATATAATGAGATGAAATGTGTGACCAAAGCTTACAATCTTACCTACATGCTTATACAGGAGTTACACAAAAACAGAAGGAAGAAGTGTAGATTAACGTAAACTAACCTCTGCTAACTGGTCAAATCTCCCAAACAATTCATTTAACATCTTCACTAATTCTGAGGCTGTGCATTCTGCAGCTAGAGGTGTGAAGTTTACTATATCAGCATACAGGATACTGAAAAAGAAATAACTTATTACTGGAGAGGACAAAAGGTATGTTTTATTTTCTTTATCAAATAAACATTTACATAATTTGTGTGACTTAAGAATAGTGTTAGTTATTTGTTGTGTGTTTTGACGTTACAATTATGGTTTCATTTTTAATGAAGAAGTCGTTTAACCCGTAACGTCTTTTTCTCTTTTTCCGTATCAATTTGTTTATATTTCGTTTAATGGAGTCAGTAGAGAATTACGATTTTGTTTACTTATCAATATGATTTCACCACTCGAAACAAATATATCACAACCGGTTATTATACTGGTAAGCACGGAATGGCACCAATCAGATATCAGGTCCTTCAACAGTTTCACACTAAAGAACGTCCTTCAGTTTCTCATTCTTCCTCCAAGATTTCCTACCATAATCATCAATAAAATGTTCCTACTAATCATCTAACCCCTTTAAAGAATTTTCTCCAATCACCATTTCTTCATTAGGTCCCAATATTCCAATCCGACAGAGAGGAAAGCATGGACAGAAATTGATGGACGTTGCTAGATTGTACGGAGCAAGTTACTTTATCTGTGCATAATAGATCTGACAGAGGTTATCTTATTTGTCAGGTAAATATTCTGAAATCATTCATCAGAAGAGATGTGTCACTGGACTTCTGATGTAAGTGACTGGTGCTATTCACTGGTCATCTGAACCCTACCCAAAACCCAGCTTTCGGTAGAAGCCCTATAGTTTAAACCTGACATCTTCGACAATGCAAATAAAACATGACGTGCAGAATGTAACCTAGATTAATTAACACGTGTCGAATCAAACAGGATCGAATGGAGATTAGATATTCAGCTTCTGTATCTACTAACACCCGTATCATTCAGCTAGTCCCACTCATTAAGGAGGTAAGAGGGTCAAAAGGCAAAATTTCACTTTTGTTCTGATGATCAGATACAAAATAATTTACAAGAAAAAAAACGTTACGTTGCTTGTCCTCTGTTATGGTTACGGGTGTCAGAATGTGTTATAGAAATCACTCTTTTTCGATTATTTCTAATTTCCCCCCGGGAATAACAGGCATTATTTTAACATGTACATTCGAGTTTCGAATGGTATTTGTTGAGATGTTTGGTGAAAAAAATAAAATATGCTACAAGAAAAAAGATAAACAATAGGCAATTTTCTATGTAAAAAAGGACCCAAAGGACTACTGAACTATTTTGTCGTAGTATATAGAGCTATGTGAAACAATTAACTTTTACAGGTATGCATTTATTCAAATGGTACACGTAGAGAGCTATGTGAAACAATTAATTTTTACAGGTATGCATTTATTCAAATGGTACACGTAGAGACAATTTTGAAATATGCATGTGTATACGTATATTGAATGTATATATAATCTCTGCTGATGGCTTAACCAATCAAGAGCATTGAAAATTAATTTGACCAAAACGTAACCGTTCCTGATACAGACATGTACACTCGCTTGTTTAGATCTGTTGGCCATCAGTGATATTTTTATTATTATGTTAGGGATATATAAGAGTATGCAAGTGTGAATGAAGGTTGTTTTTGTAATTGTCATAAGAAAGAATGAGTGTTTAAGGAATCATTGAGTTTGGAAGTAAATGTATGTTGTTATGCGGGCGGATCTTCCTCTACAATCTCTTATGTATAAATTCAAAAGGCCGTTATTTTCAATGTTGAAATACCTAAATTGAAATTACAATAAATGTATTCAAATATACATGTAGAAACAAGAATATTTATACCGTATATTGCACATGTTGAACGAAAATATTGATTTCACTTTACATTGTAGCATATAACAAGGGAAAGATAAATCAAGAAATCAATACAAATTATTGCCTTTAAAAGTATGATGTTATGATAATACCAATGTGTGATTCCTCATTGTGAAACAAAATAGCATGGAGCTATAAACACACACAACCAATGCTAATTGTTCATAACAGAATTACACATTAAGTGATAATTTGTACAGCTAGAGCTTCAACAACAAAGTACATGGACAGATTCTATAATTATCAACATTTAATCAACTTGCACTTTAAGTCAAAAATTATATATGTCATTATTTTACGCTGATTGAAAATTATGCATTATTTTATGCAGATTTAATCGATAGAACAGTAAAAGTGTTGTTCAAAAGTGTTGTAAGTAAACGACATGCCATTAAAAAGAGTGATTTACCTGATATTGGTGTATTGCTGTACATACAAGTCGTGAAATGGCGAGGGCTTGGGTCGTTTACTGAGGACTGTTTTGGTAATGCCTTCCTTCATCTTCTCAACAAGGTCAGGGGGCATACAACTGTTCAGTAGTTCCTCCTGTCACAGAGGTCAAAAGGTCACAACCTCATCAATATCAAATACTGGGAAATAGACTTCACCAGTGTCTATCATCAAAATTTACATAAACCTAGACTAATATACACGTGAAGGTGGCTGATGTCACTACATATAAACTGTCGTTTGAATCTTTTGAGGTTCACTTACTCGACGTTTGTAACTACAAAGTAATAACAAAAAAAAAATGATTTTATTTTTTTTTATTTGTAATTTATCAAATTTAGTAATATATACCCTGGAGAATTTTTCTGATTGGCTGCGCCGGTCAGAAATATATTGTGATGTCGTTATAGGAATGAATTAAAAATGGCGTTACAAAATGACTGCCTCCGTTTGATTTTCTCCTCCAGAATTTGATTTTAAAACTTGCCAAAATGTAACTTTTCTGAGCTTTACTTAATAAAAAAGCAACATTTAAGACGTGTTTCATAAAATCTCATATGAAATGAAAACTCATTTAAGATGCTATAACTTTGCACGAACTATATCAGTACGGATTCCGGTGTCTCGAAATATCAAGGGAAGTAACTGTGTTTAATCTCTGCGTTAAGAGCTTTCTCGTGCCTCTGCGGTGCCCCAGAGTCATATTCATTTGATTTTCTCAACGTGATAATCAGGAAAATGTGGGTTTTACTGACACTCACCTGTTGATGTTTCTCACGTTCTAACTTGACCATGGATTGGATCGAATTGCGTGCCTCCAGGAAGGTGTTCCTGTGAGTGATGTCGGTTAGGTACTTGTGGTAGAGCCCAACCATGTTACCACACAACAGAATCACAAGATTGCAGGCGATCTGTGGGTACAATATGACCTTATTAGCAAAACTGTGCATTAGTTGTTTAACGTGCATGTTTCGGTCAAGTAAAGACCTTGATGTTCTTTTTAGTATGGTAATATTATCACAATCAAGTGATACTAGGGTTATCTTTACAAAAATACTTTACCTGAAGAAATAGGAAGTCTTTCTCTTTAGTGAGGAAGCCTACAGTGGTGGTCTCTAACAGTGTAGTAAGGATACCCAGACACAGGGACCAGCGTTTAGAAAGTGGTAGCATCATATGGCACACAAGAGTGGTGTAAAATACCACAGCAATGTCGTCTGAGGGTTCACGATGATCGCCAGGGACGTTGTAGTAGACGTTAATGACCGCTAGGAGGAGTAGCCAGGTGATGACCGAGATGACCGACGAACACTTGAGGTAGAGTTTCTCCGTGACTACCACCAACATGATTGCCAGCATTGCCACGACGCCACAGCCGAGCGTGGCTATGTGAACCTGGGTGGTAGGGTCTGTGAATGTCTGCCATGTGGAATAAAGTAACAGAATAAAATTATTTACCAATCTACTTATTTCCAACAATTTTCTATATACGACAGTAACGGATATCTTATATCGTCTAACAAGAACTGACCGCAACTTCAGCTACGACTTTAATTTGTGACCTTTACCTTGAAGTGACAAAGTCCGATATGACCTGCCGTTTGGACAAAGTATAGAAACATTATGATTGCCAGTCAACATAGAGGTATTACGTATTCTCACTGTTAAAACTAACCCCAACTTCTGACCTAAACTGAAACTCAAGAGAAGGTTCTAAAAATAAGAAATATCACGCAGCAAACAACTAAATTGATTATTATCAATTTAACCGCTGAATTCATATAGAAATGAGAGTAAGGGAAGTGTATTCTGGACCATAAAATATAAGGACGCTGCACTCAAGACTGGTCTGTAAAACAAATATATCAACCAATCAAATCGCTCATACACTATCATAATTACCTCACAAACAACAACGTGGTACGTGATGGCGCAGATACAGACACAGATGGTTAATGTAAGGAGTGCGACAACGAGAGTCCTCTTCATCATCGCGCAGTAACATTGGTACATCTCCTCTATCTGTAGACTGCGGAATGTCTCCTGGTCAAATATGTAATCGTATGTATTATTAGAATAGTCCTGTATAGGTAATCGGTCATGGCAAATATAGGTAATCTGTCACAGTATATATATAGGTCATCTGTTACAGTATATATAGGTAATCTGTCACAACATATAGATAATCTGTCACAGTATATATAGGTCATATGTTACAGTATATATTGTAATATGTTACAGTATATATGGTAATCTGTCACATTATATATATAGGTAATCTGTCACAGTATATATAGGTAATCTGTAACAGTATATATAGGTAATCTGTCACAGTATATATAGGTAATCTGTCACAGTATATATAGGTAATCTGTCACAACATATAGGTAATCTGTCACAGTATATATAGGTAATCTGTAACAGTATATATAGGTAATCTGTCACAGTATATATAGGTAATCTGTCACAACATATAGGTAATCTGTCACAGTATATATAGGTAATCTGTCACAGTATGTATAAGTAATCTGTCACAGTATATATAGGTAATCTGTCATAGTATGTATAAGTAATCTGTCACAGTATATATAGGTAATCTGTCACAGTATATATAGGTAATCTGTCACAATCTGTATATATATATAGGTAATCTGTCACAGGTAATCTGTATAATATATAGTAATCTGTCACAGTTTATATAGGTAATCTGTCATAGTATATATAGGTAATCTGTCACAATATATAGGTAATCTGTCATAGTATATATAGGTAATCTGTCACAACATACAGGTAATCTGTCACAGTATATATAGGTAATCTGTCACAGTATATATAGGTAATCTGTCACAACATACAGGTAATCTGTCATAGTATATATAGGTAATCTGTCACAACATACAGGTAATCTGTCACAGTATATATAGGTAATCTGTCATAGTATATATAGGTAATCTGTCACAACATACAGGTAATCTGTCATAGTATATATAGGTAATCTGTCACAACATACAGGTAATCTGTCACAGTATATATAGGTAATCTGTCACAGTATATATAGGTAATCTGTCACAGTATATATAGGTAATCTGTCACAGTATATATAGGTAATCTGTCACAACATACAGGTAATCTGTCACAGTATATATAGGTAATCTGTCACAACATACAGGTAATCTGTCACAGTATATATAGGTAATCTGTCACAGTATATATAGGTAATCTGTCACAACATACAGGTAATCTGTCACAGTATATATAGGTATTCTGTCACAACATACAGGTAATCTGTCACAGTATATATATACATCCGTGTAGGAGAACCGGTCAACTGATACAACAAAACACTGAACAAATTATTTTTTTATTGCTTGTCCGATATTCACATAAAATACATTAGTTTACAGACATGTTTGTAGCTCATGGCGTCAAACCGTGTTGAATAGGTAAGCGAGTGTATGGTACACAAATGAATGTAAAACTTCTAGCAACCAATCTATATATATATATATAGTTTACATTCAGACTCCCTTATTTTGCACCCATTTTTAGCAGCGGTGATTTTTTTCTTAAGAATGATTTTATCGCAAGGAAATGGGCAACAATTCGGCAATGGTGAAATCGATGGAATATGTCTTTCTCGAGAAAAATAATCACTTCCATGTACATTGCGGTACCTAAAAAACGACAATTCTGGTAGATATTGCGGAAATACTTTACCTCGATTACGTCACCGTCAAAAGACAATACAGACGGTTCAAAAACAAAACGGTTCCCCAGATATACTCAAATCGTTTATGTCTCCATTTTGTTACAAAAACACCCAATAGATATTTCGAAATATATCATACAACAGATTTTCTGACAAAGAAAATACACCAATCAACTTTAGTTAGACACAGAATATTATGTCTCTCATTTATACAGTATTTACAAATACTGCGCCAGTCATATCATATCATTGGACGTCGTAGATTCATCTCCATGCAGAACGAAGGTAATCCATCAAATCTAAAGTGTCATTTTCTTTAGTAAACCTGTTCTAAGCGGGAAGGATAAGGGTGTATGTCCTCAGTCATCTTCCGTCCTTTGTGGTTTGACAATGATAACCAGCTCTCCTTTATGGGTTGTTTAAGTGTCCAGCATGTTATATAGATTTTGCATTATCATAAAATCACAGTACATCACTAATTATGCGAAACCCAAATGGCATGCTTAACACTTTATTACACAGTAAATTATAACATATAACATGTAAACACTTTCAATAAGTACTGGATTCATAAAACCTTACAATAATTTGAATTGGATTCATGGATATCTCGCACCGATGTTTGCCTACGTCATGTTTTGTGTGTAGTAGATGGTTTAGATGTCTACGTTTCAGTTTGTGTGTAGTAGATGGTTTACCTGTCTACGTTCTAGTTTGTGTGTATTAGATGGTTTACCTGTCTACGTTCTAGTTTGTGTGTAGTAGATGGTTTACCTGTCTATGTTCCAGTTTGTGTGTAGTAGATGGTTTAGCTGTCTACGTTATAGTTTGTGTGTAGTAGATGGTTTACCTGTCTACGTTATAGTTTGTGTGTAGTAGATGGTTTAGCTGTCTACGTTTCAGTTTGTGTGTAGTAGATGGTTTAGCTGTCTACGTTTCAGTTTGTGTGTAGTAGATGGTTTACCTGTCTACGTTTCAGTTTGTGTGTAGTAGATGGTTTAGTTAGGTTACGGTTTGTGGGTGGTAGCTGGCTTGCCTGTCTACGTTGGGTTTTGTGTCTGGTAGATGGTGGTTTTTTTTTACGTTACGTTTGATTGTTGTAGCTGGCTTGCCTGTTTACGTTGGGTTTTGTGTCTGGTACATGGTGGGTTTTTTACGTTACGGTTTGATGGTTGTAGCTGGCTTGCCTGTCTACGTTGGGTTTTGTGTCTGGTAGATGGTGGGTTTTTTACGTTACGGTTTGATGGTTGTAGCTGGCTTGCCTGTCTACGTTGGGTTTTGTGTCTGATAGATGGTGGTTTTTTACGTTACGGTTTGTGGGTGGTAGCTGGCTCGCATATGGTAAGAGGTCGTTTCTGCTTTACAGAATGTATGTGATTACCTCGTCAGGTCGCGACTGATGTGATGGAACCAAGCTTTGTTTCTCTAATATTAAAAATGAAAAAAATGAAATTATTTGGTTTGATGGGAGAGAAAATAATGTATACATACCTTGATGTGTGCTAGAGATATTTCCTCCCATGATGACTTTACATTCGGGTTGTATGGGATTCCATACTGCCCCGGGGGTGGGCCTTGCCCAAACAGATACGAGGTCGCACGGCCAGACATTGCTATTTCCCTTTAATCCATAGATTCCTGCCAAACAATACAACCACCATAATAACAGTCCTCCTACACAGCACACAGATTAAATTAATTATAACGTTAGTGCAGTTCCTGAGAGTTTAGTGGTTAATATTCCAACTTCATTCGTGTAAAGTACAGAGCATATTTTCCATTCAGTGTTACGTTACGATCAATGGTAGAAATCAATGGAGAAGCTAGTTGTGTCCCCTAGACTCATTGCCTTAAGGGGAAGTACGTATATAGGCAAAGCCCGTCTTAAAAGGCTGGTAATCAAAATAGCATCACTACACAAGTCAAACATGTAATTATGGTGAAGAAGACGTGGAATGATATGTAGACATATTGATTGTTATGTAATAATGGTTCCACAGATGTCAGCCAAGATGATAAAAAAACAACAATCATCCCACATCAATCATTTGGTCTGTTCTGATAACCAATATGGAGTGATGTGTTCTGTACCGGTTACCGGACCAAGTCACGCGGAATGTACCAGTTACAAAGAGGTGACGCGGCATGTACCGGCTATCGAATCGAGTCACGCGGTATGTACCAGTTACAAAGAGGTGACGCGGTCTGTACCGGCTATCGAATCAAGTCACGCGGTATGTACCAGTTACCAAGAGGTGACGCGGTCTGTACCGGCTATCGAATCAAGTCACGCGGTATGTACCGGTTACCAACAGGAGACGCGGTCTGTACCGGCTATCGAACCAAGTCACGCGGTATGTACCAGTTACCAAGAGATGACGCGTTCTGTACCGGTTACCGGACCAAGTCACGCGGTATGTACCAGTTACCAAGAGGTGACGCGGCATGTACCGGCTATCGAATCAAGTCACGCGGTATGTACCAGTTATCAAGAGGTGACGCGGTCTGTACCGGCTATCGAACCAAGTCACGCAGTATGTACCAGTTACCAAGAGGTGACGCGTTCTGTACCGGTTACCGGACCAAGTCACGCGGTATGTACCAGCTACCAAGAGGTGACGCGGTCTGTACCGGCTATCGAATCAAGTCACGCGGTATGTACCAGTTACCAAGAGGTGACGCGGCATGTACCGGCTATCGAACCAAGTCACGCAGTATGTACCAGTTACCAAGAGGTGACGCGTTCTGTACCGGTTACCGGACCAAGTCACGCGGTATGTACCAGCTACCAAGAAGTGACGCGGTTTGTATCGGCTATCAAATCAAGCCACGCTGTATGTTTGTGTCGGCTATCAAATCAAGCCACGCTGTATGTACTGGTTACTCCCACGAATCAGGTTGACACTGATCATGAGAATAAGGAAGCTTCAAAACAGCATAGCTAATGTAAGAAACCTAATTTGAACATTAAAATCGGCAAGAACGTTTATCTGGTAAATATGTAACAAGATTGAACAAGACTTCAAAATTAGGCTAAAGTCATGACGCTATCACGTGCTCAGTAAACAGCAGAGAACCAATATGTCGTTACGTGTTAAAATGGTCTAAGGTATTTTTCCATGTGTTGAAGATACTCAACAGTCTCGTATGAAATCGACACCCCTTTAACACTATATAAACGGTACACTAAAGGTATAAAAATACATACCTCCATCTACAAAAGTGTATCATTTCTCCTTTAAACATGAAGTAAGTACGACATGCATTAACTGAATAAATCTAGAGTTCCAATTCAAAGGGATAAAATGTTTCAACCAAAGAAACGCTCCCCAATTCCGTGAAATGTGTCTTTTAAACATGATTGATATTGAAGGGGGAAAGCGTAAGCAGACCGCACATCAATCTTGATCCCGTCCCCTGGTCAACTTTAGTCAAGTGACACACGCGTCACTTTATTGTATCCGTATGTGCTGTGTAGTTTACTTTATAGTAGCTTGTCATCAAGTCTTACTAAAGTCACGACTTACACTTTACATACCGCTCCCTCCGCGGGCCTCTCCTCTAAATAGAACTATCAGCCTCAGGACCTGTCTATAATAAAGAGGAATGATGTAAAAAGATACCAACCCTGTCCTACCTCATTAACTCCCCAGCCACAATTACGTCGTTTAAATAAGTTACGTTCACCTACATTATAAATGTATAGCTATTTAGAATTGAAACTGAAGTATTTGTAATTGAGGTATTTAAGTTTTGTGTTTTCCGCGACAATGGTATATTCCGTACACGTCTAAAATTATCTTTGTTCATAACTCCACAAATTAAATTAGTTCTAATTAACTTACAAGTAAAACATATAGGTGCAGTATTCATAATTATCCACGTGACATTCGTAATTTTAAAAAATGTATAATGCGTAACACCTTGTTCTACACTCAAGTGTAACTTCAGGGAATGAAATTTTTTTTTCGAAACTTTCACATCCGTACAAATGAATAATGTTAGAGATTTATAAGCTTTGTTCAATGTGTCCGGAATATGTGTTACGTCAATGATTTGATCTAATTACATAGGACTTTGTCGGCACTGATTGAAGAAACTCTTCTACGAACAGAATACTTGCTGTAGTGACAGCCACCCCCGGGCACCCTGACTGACCCACAACAAAAAGTGAGTTACGACCCCCATAAATTGGCGAGTGTCTCATAAAGCCAGGCTCCACGAGACAAGATAGATTACATTATAAATACGAATATCAAAACGTCTCCAGTTATTTATCTGTCGTTAACAGCATCACTTTCAATGTATTTTAGTCGACCTAGGGCAATAGCAAACTTGTGTTTATCATCAGTACATAATTATAAATATGGAATGAAATCTGTTAAAATAGAAATTTTATAAAGCTTAAAACTAACTGAAATGATAGAATTCACTTTTAACCATGAACACATTGTAATAGATATAACTGAAAAAAATTAATTGTCCAAAAAATCATAATTAATTGGATGAAATCTGGAGAAGGATTTAAAAAAAAGCTTGTTTCCGAATACAAAACGACTTGTAATATGTAATATGTAATATGTAATATATATCTATATATATATTTAATTGTAAATCGATAAGACGAAGTCTATCGATTTATTAACGAATGAAATTTACCAATATAATCATGAATATGTGGATTAAAGCTGAAATAATAAAATAGGTCTAAAATAATCCTAAATGTGGGTTTAAATCGACTTTTCGTTTACTAGAAAACGAATACTGGCGGACTTACCTTTCCTGGGAATTAAAATGACTTTATTGACGAACTAACTTCGAGGTATACACGAATGCCGGAAGAAAAACGTAACCGGAAAATAATGCATTCTAAGTTCACTGTAAAATGAACAAAAGAATATTAGATTCAAGTTGTTTTCGCTATATCCTGAAGCCATAGATAAGGAAGCTCACAACAATATCCTCACATTTCTGTTAAGATAGGGTGTAACTTCTCAGAAGTCCCGAGATAGGGAAGTACGTGTTTTAATGGTTTTTAAGTCAGAAGTAGTAACTTGAGAGCTGCTTGATATATATGAATATGTGATCTTGTTACACAGGCGTTCAGTCTCACTGCCCTAAGTTATAGCACCACCATTATCGTTGACAGATTTACAATATTGTAATTAGTGATCAAATTAACATGTATCAGTGGAGACTTGTGGATATTTAAAGTGTGCGTTTTTTTTCAACTGATTAACAGTTTCGCTGACAATGTCAGGTTTCTATCAGACATAACATAACACGTTGAGACAAGAGAGGTCACAAACCTATAAATCGTGATTATCTGCCCACTGTTCTGACTCGCCTTATGACGTAAAACACGAGGCGACGTCAAAAATTGTGATGGTTGTGCCTAATCCTAGTCATTGTTATAACCATATAACATGTTTAAATCCGGACTAACCAGGCTCTTAATTCATTAGTGTTATTATACATGTTCGCATTAAAGAATTTAGCATCAGAATGGATATATGTTTTTATACAAACATCATAAACATCCAAACATGCTCAGAATCCCCACTGTTGGTCATTAATCATTATCATTCACCAGACATTGTCAACAAAAAACTGGAATGCACATCCCGTCATCGATTGAAATGTGAAATATCTAGAACAAATAATGTGTTATTTCCGTAGAAAATAAAAGATCTGATTGTTTAAAGCAAGTTTATCTATAATCAACATAATATACACAGGTACTCAATGTCTATACCGGTACTCAGATTATATACCGGTACTCAGTGTATATATAGGTACTCAGTGTATATACCGGTACTCAGTGTATATACCGGTACTCAGTGTATATATAGGTACTCAGTGTATATATAGGTACTCAGTGTATATACCGGTACTCAGTGTATATACCGGTACTCAGTGTATATACCGGTACTCAGTGTATATACCGGTACTCAGTGTATATACCGGTACTACTCGGTGTATATACCGGTACTCAGTGTATATATAGGTACTCAGTGTATATACCGGTACTCAGTGTATATACCGGTACTCAGTGTATATACCGGTACTCAGTGTATATACCGGTACCCAGTATATATACCGGTACTCAGTGTATATACCGGTACTCAGTGTATATACCGGTACTACTCGGTGTATATACCGGTACTCAGTGTATATACCGGTACTCAGTGTATATACCGGTACTCAGTGTCTATACCGGTACTCAGTGTATATACCGGTACTACTCGGTGTATATACCGGTACTCAGTTTATATACCGGTACTCAGTGTCTATATCGGTACTCAGTGTATATACCGGTACTACTCGGTGTATATACCGGTACTCAGTGTATATACCGGTACTCAGAGTATATACCGGTACTCAATGTATACACCGGTACTCAGTGTATATACCGGTAATCAGTGTATATACCGGTACTCAGTGTATATACCGGTATTCAGTGTATATACCGGTACTCAGTGTATATACCGATACTCAGTGTATATACCGGTACTCAATGTATATACCGGTACTCAGTGTATATACCGGTACTCAGTGTATATACCGGTACTAAGTGTATATACCGGTACTCAGTGTATATACCGGTACTC